ACAGCCTGCATCTGAAAACATCAGGAGCTGTGGAAAGATGCTGGCAGCTGCCTGAAGCATCAAGAAACTGAAGTGTTTTTGCAAGGTTTAGGACAAAGCATTGAAGCTGAGTGGCTTTCAAGAAGGCAGAGAAGATCTTACAACTATGCAGGTTGAATCAGGATGTTATGAAGTGTCCTGCTTTGTGCTGGGGAAGGCCAGTTAGATTGAGACCACAGGTTAAGGAGACAGAGGGGAAAAAACCATGACGGATCCCAGTATGCTGTAATATTTACACCTTGCCCATTAGAGAAAGCCACCTTGCTGTAACAGTGAAGGGGAAGTGTTGATCCTGTGATATGCAGCTTTCCCTCTAGGCAACCAGTGTTTCTCATTCCCTGCTCACCAAGGAGGAGGTGAGTGGTCCCACTTCATTTTAAAATGCCCATGTGTCCACACATCAGCATCTGCATTGTTGTTTAGATACATTGGTCCAAAGTCTAAAAATCCCATTGGTCCACAACTGATAAAGGCTTCATATGGTAATCAGTAGTAATTAAAATCTAAGTGATAGGAGAGCAGCAGCAGCTGATGGAGGGATAATACTAGAACAGAAAGGAGCTCGTGCCATTTCTCTGAAATTAAATGTTTTCTTTTTAACCATTGCTGAAGCTATTAAGATGCATTGACAGCTTCACATTATCATCTCTACAGGAAAGGGAAACAGCAAAAAGAAAGAGGACTGGCTAACAAAATCAAAGTTTTCTGTATTATCTCAAGGCAAATCTGTTTACTACTAAAGCTGCTGACTTTGCTAAGAACAAGGTTGAACCCATATTGTAAAGACGTAAGTCCTCCACACCATTTTATCTTGGTCAGAACAAACATCAACCCAACCACAGAATATCAAGCTATAAATGCAAATGCATCATGGTAAGTGCATCCACGGTGCTTAATGTAATCACAAAACTGAACATACCGACAAATTTCTGCTGGCAAGTGCGTGCCACTGATCACTGTCAATGTACTTTAGCTTTATATAATTTGAAATCTGCCAAGTTTAGTCATTCAAACTGGACATATCTAACAGTGCAAATTTTCATTAGCAACTGTCCGATAGCTGAGGAGGCTGCAGTGTCATTCTATTGCATACATGTCTTCTTGCATGTCACGTTAAAAGGAAACAAACCATGAGAGGCCAAAAGAAACTGCTCATAGAAAACCAAGCACAGATTGATCATTGCTAATGGATTGCAGAAAGTTGGTCAATTTTCTATAAAAACCTGGCACATTTAAAACAGCTAATTTCATAAGTCACAGGTTACTGCACTGGTGAAATGACCAAATGTCCGAGGGCATCTGAGATGTGTTTTTAATAGTATCTAGAAAAATAGGCACCCACTTTTTACTGGGAGCTATTTTAGATCTTTGTTTCATTTCTGCTCTAAGCTTTAAAGTAAGTCTTCTCCTCTTTCCTTTTCACTTTTTCCTTTAAGGGGGAAGGGGGGGGAAGGGGGGGAAGGGGGGAAGGGGGGGGGAGGTGGGGGGAGGGGGGGGGACGGGGGGGGGAGGGGGGGGAGGGGGAGGGGAGGGGGGGGGGAGGGGAGGAGGTTTCTTTTCTTTTTTTTCTTTTCCTTTCCTTTCTTTTCTTTTCCTCTCTTTCTTTTCTTTTCTTCTTTTCTTTCTTTTCTTTTCTTTTCTTTTCTTTTCTTTTCTTTCTTTTCTTTTCTTTTTTCTTTTCTTTTCTTTTCTTTTCTTTTCTTTCTTTCTTTTCTTTTTCTTTCTTTTCTTTTCCTCTCTTCTCCTCTCTTTTCTTTTCTTTCTTTTCTTTTCTTTTCTTTTCTTTCTTTCTTTTCTTTTCTTTTCTTTCTTTCTTTTCTTTTCTTTTCTTTTCTCTTTTCTTTTCTTTCTTTTCTTTCTTTTCTTTTCTTTCTTTCTTTCTTTTCTTTTCTTTTCTTTTCTTTCTTTTCTTTTCTTTCTTTCCTCTCCTCTCCTCTCTCTCCTCTCCTCTCCTCTCCTCTCCTCTCCTCTCCTCTCCTCTCCTCTCCTCTCCTCTCCTTCCTCTCCTCCTCTCCTCTCCTTCTTTTAGCCTTGCCTTGCCTCGCCTTGCCTTTCTTCACTTTTCCTTGTCTTCACTTTCCTTTTCTCAAATGTGGGAGGTTAAACATGATAAACTCTTCCTGTTAAGATGTGATAATCTTGCTTGGTCAAAACGGACACACAGGTTGTCAAACCAGAAGCTCTTGTGCTAATGCAGTGATTTGCATTCATTTTGGAAATATTTTATTCCAAAAGTGATGAGGGAACACAACCCGAGTCTTGCCCTGAGGCTCATTGTGCCCACATCACCCTTCTCTTTCATGAACAGTGCCAGAAACAGTGAACTAGCTTCAGTTGTCTTACTTCAAAATACAGAACAAATGAGGCCCTTTGTGAAGGCATAGTCAAGAAGGTGCTCTTCATGGAGGCCCGTGTGACAGAAGCAAATGTCTGTACCTGGAAGAGTAACTAGGAGCATACAGTCTGCAAGAGGAACATGAGGTAACCCCTCCAGGATCTTCAACACAACAGAGCCTCGGGGGGAATCCATGTCTGAGTACCAGATTGCAAGGTGGGATAATAGGGAAACATTTAGAGGAGAGTGCAGCAGACAAGCCACACCTCCAAGGACTTTGTGGAGGATGAGAAGAAAATGCTGAGGTGGCAGGACAGGCTTCAACCTGTTTTTGTCCAATGCAGAGTGAGTGTGAGCTTGTGGACAGAGTTGGATTTCCTTAAAGCAAGTGGCAGAATTGGTCTGTTAAGGTATTTAGCATCTGCCCATGGTTTGTCATCTTCCCTGAATAACTGAGTAGATGAAAAAGGACTACTAATTTCATTCACACAACCAGTCTGTGGTCGATGCAATGCTCAAGGTTCTGCACAGGAAACAGATGTGTCTGAATCAACCCAGTCCTTAGTCTATGAGCAGCATTTTTGAGTTCCTGATGTCTCCAGTGCTCCAAGCATGTAGCTAATGAATGGCAGTGCAAACAACTTACACGTGCACGGGTTGTGTTTATTCTAACGCACACATCAATACTGTCTCATAAGTAAACTGAACAGAGCTGCAACGTCCTTCCTAAAATGTCGACTCACTGGGGATATGGAGCTAGTGATAAACACTGCAGATCTTCTTCAAACAGAACTTCTCTGCCCTTACTGCTTTATATAACTGAATTTTCTTTTTCCTCTCCCTCTCCTCTCAAATGCAGCTCTTGAAAATAAAACAATCCTGTCTGGGGCACACCGTGTCCCTTTGAGGAAATTCATTGGCTCAGCACAAATGTAACTGAAAGCAGACTGACTCACTGCTTTTAGGAAGTATTTTACCATGTATTCTATGTTGCTTGTTTCTCACTTTTCTGTTTATTATCAGGTCTTTCGATGGCAGGTGGTTTAGGGAAAAAAGCAAAACTTAAAAACAGTGAAAGTTACATAAAACCTCTGGGCCAGATCCTCAATGGATATAAATTGTCTTTGTACCATTTGCAGGCTCAGGAGAACAGGCTTTACCAAATCAAAGTGCTCTTTGTTTTCTAATAGGTTTCTGCTGCACAGGGAGACCAGAAAAGAGATTTGTTTCTTCTGTAGCACTGTGCCCTTGATTAACCTCATTTGCAGGAGCTATTTCAGTTAAAAAGTTAATACCAACACTGACTTCTAAGTGTTGCTGTGTGATACCTGTCTGTTCATGTACCATTTACTTCTCTCAAGCCATTTTCTGTCAGCACAGAGGCAAGCAAGATGTATGCTGTGGCTGAATTTCATATCATCATTAGCAGAAAATTACACCAAACTGCTATAAAGTAATTACAGTGCTAAGAGGTGAGCCAGCAGGAAGTCAGTGATTAAATGTGTACCACCAGAGTCAGCCTACACCACTTGGTGTTTTGTTCAGAGGCTTTCAATCTATTTTCCAATTGCTGGCTAGTGCCACAGGCTGTATCAAACCTTCAGTCGGGCCCTTCTTCATACCAAGTGAATTTTGTTCCAGTCCCATATAGCACAGCTCAGGATAACAGTAATTTTTAAACGGTAGCTTGGGGTTCCTCTTGCACCACTAAGCTCTTCTTACTGAAATCTTTCAGAGGCTCTTGCAGAGGTGCTGCAGTTACAGCCATCCATTGTGGTCAGGCTGCAGCATAGCTATTTGTCATACAAAGAATGTGAAAAGCGCGAAGGTTTAGAAATGATGTGATCTGAATTACCTACATAAAACTCTGCCTGAGTGAAAGACCTTGGAGCAATGACTGAGGAAGCAATAATAATACTGTACTCTGTATCTTCCCTCCAAATGATCTCAAACAGCGGTAAGCTTAACCTTTGGCATTCCTGTGAGAAATGCATCTCCATGTTGTTGATGGTAATTTGAAGCACCGAGATGTTACCATTAATAACTGAGGAGTGAGTGGCACACCCTCTGGGGCACAGAGAAGGTACGGTCCTCATCCAGAGGGGCCCTCCATCACGACACAGAAGACAGCAATCAGAAAGAAGACCAGGTGAGACACTTGATCTGTGGGATCCATAGTTTTATTTCACATTTTGCCCTCCTCTCCCCCTCCCTCTCCCAGCTTTGAGTTCCACCCTCTCAGCCTCCTCCCTTCTGCTCAGTTTCCCTGATCTCCTCCCCATTCCTCCTGTTCTGCTCACCCCATTCCCAAGAGCCAGAGCAAGGTTAAATGGACAATCAAAGATGATACAGCCAAAATGCCAAAGAATTTGAACCGTGGGAGATGAAAAACCTTCTCACCCTTCAGGACACTGGAGGGTCCTTTACGAGGAGCTTTTACCCAGTTTTACCCTGTTCCTATGGGTGAAGGATCTCCAGATGCACAGAATAACCTGAATAAAAAAGTGGGCTTTCTAATATTGCCTTCAAACTTTACACTAAAAATTAGATGGTCAGATCCTACCTATAGTAGCGTGAATAGCTGTTTGGTGACTGCAGATACTGTATTTTACTTAACACACTTCCATTCTGTGTGCAGTTATCCACACAGACAACTCTCCTTCACTCAGGCCTAATACTTCTGAAATCAGTAAGAATTTTATTACTGGTTTCAATGGGAACAGGCTTAGGGCACGGATAGCCTATTCTGAGTGCATGACTGATGTCAAAGTAATCCATCAATGCAATTTAATGGCTGGTATTTGGTGCCCTCAGCTTCCAGACCCATAGGAAACCCAGGTCCGAATGCTCTCTGCTGACACAGCCTACATGTTCTTATCTGGGTAGGATGCAAGAAGACCAGTAGCCAGTGCTACAAGTACTGGACCTTTTCAAAAGCTGCCCAGATACCACATTAAGTGTTCAGCTGACCCTGGGTTCACTATGTCCCTGGGAAATTTGCTCTTCTTTTATTATTAAAAAGCATATAGAATTTTCAAAGAACTGCAACATGCCCTCATAAATTTAATGAGAGACGGGCCACTAACCACAGGCTACAACTTTGAAAAATCTCCCCTTTCTTCCAACTTTTAAGTTCAACAGATTTTAAACTCTTGCAACTTTTAATTTCCAGGTCATGTAATCTGTTACTTTGTAAAGTGAAAAACCTGTTTAGTACCACCAGATCTTTGCTAGTCCTAATCCTATAGTTGACCCCATCACTTCCTAACCTGCTCTTATGGAGACTGTGAAAGCTTACTTTTTTCTCCCCAATAAACTAAAACCTTCATGCACTGATCACTATTCAATCCAAAAGCATACTGTGGATGAGCAAACAGAAGTCAGCTTATAGAGAAACTTTTGCATATGGCTTAAAAGAAAGCCCAGCAAGGATTGACAATGACAGATGATCTCCCCTGTGACATCCAAGAATAATGTAGTTTCACATTTACATTAGGGAAAAACAACCAACAGACACACTTAAATAATCATTAAAAATTAAACACTTGACATAACGCAGATTTCAACCCTGTTCTGCCACACATCTTTTAGAAATCATTAATGGATATCATTTGAGGTTTTCTCATTTGCTTCGCTCATGAACAAAAGCTTTGTAATGGAGGTTCCTGTGTATCTGTTATCAGCAAAAGGTTCTCTCGAGGGAAATTAAGTGAAAGGACATTTTTCTTGTCTTCATATTTGACATTCAGGAGTAGTGACGAGATAAGGTAGGCACGGGAGTCTTTCAAAAGAGCGCCAGATAGCGATGGCAGCATTTCATAAGGACGTGAACCGTTCATCATCTGCTGAAAAGACTCCGTTAATGTGGCCTGCTTTTAAATCCAATGTTTCACAAGGAGTCCCATTTTCTATTGTTATTGTTACTTCGCCTTTCTCTTCTAAGTTTTCTCTCTCTGTTGACTCTTTATTCTTTCTAAAAACAAGGAAGAGAAAATTGTCTTATTCTATTGACCTGCAGCACTCCACCAAGCTCTCACAGACAGAAAACAGCACATTTAGTTAGAAGGTTGTGTAGGTTACGTACTGAAAGGCATCGTCTGGCGCAGAGGCTCCCCAGCATCATTTGCTCTTACATCAACTTTAGCTGTATTAGCTCACAACCACCTTTACGTGCAAAAGCAGGCAGCTACCCACACAGCCTCTTTGCTGCTGTAAATACACCACTGAATGGGGGGAGGCCTTCCCTTCCTGGGACTGGAAACTTTGGTTTAGTGGTTCAAGGTCAGGACTGGGAATCAGAAAACCTAGGGTAAACGTGTTGTAAATATGTTATATGTATCACTTGGGCTACTGGTTCTGTGAAATGACTGGAGGTTGCAGAAGTAAAACCTGGTGCAAGAGAAAAATGGAAATAAAAACCAACTCTGAATCTGTTTTTTTGCCTGAAGTCAGGAAGGACTGCACTACACACCTAGTCTGGCCCTGTTGTACGTCATAGATTTCAACCAATGATGTGGATAAATTAAAATATACTGTAAGAAACAAATTGACTTCTGACTAAAGCCTCCACTGGTGGAGACTTGAGTGTCTTCAGACTCCTTGACAATCTTCTCCAGAAGTTAGGCACTCTTCCAACCTAGTATCTTTTTATACTTTTGTTTTCTAGACTAAGCAATTTCGTGGGTTTCACTTTCCTGGCTACAGTTCTGATGACAACCATATTAAAATAGTTAAATAAAATTATCTTAAAAAAAAAAAAAGATGTAATAGAGAAGTATTAGTCAACATGTCATAGTGTTCCTTCAATTCCAGATTTATTCTGACCTTGAGATCCACTAGTTCATAGTTGAAAAACCTGCTGTACTTTACAGCCTGCAGCATCAGCGGTTTCAGAGGATAAGAAACTCAAAGGTCAGCTCCACCGCTTCTTCCTATCCCACAATACACACTGTAACAATCTGACTCAGGACAATCATAGCAGCCTGACTCAGTATAATATCAAATAATAGTGATATTAAGAATAATAAAATGTTATTGGCCTTTGGGAGATTGTTGGCATTACAGGCTTGCTAAAAATAAATGTGGGGATAGTACTGGAAGCCTCTGACCTCTGACTGACTTATCAGCTCTTACAGGGATGAGAGTTCTTTGATTCAAAAAGTGTGGGCACAAACATAAAGAGAGATGGTTACTAAGGTGTGCATTCAAAAGAAAAGAGAGGAATAGAAGAGGTGTGTAACTTGTTGCCATAGGAATTCAGAGCAGCTAAGAATTTCTTAGTCCAAGGAGGGACTCAGCAAGTCAAGGGAAGATAAAACATTGTGGGTTACTCAGAACATGAAGACCAAATCCGTCTCAGGAAGGCCACCAGCTGCAAAATATGTGCTGGGTGAGTAATAGAGGGAAGCATTTGTGTGCTCACTCTGTCCTTCCTCTTCCCAAGGCAAATGTTTTTGGTCTTTGCTGAAGATGGGATTTTGGAAGTAGGGCTGTCCATCAGATCAGTCTAACACATCATACACAGTAAAGAACAGAACAGAACAGAACAGAACAGAACAGAATAGAATAGAATAGAATAGAATAGAATAGAATAGAATAGAACAGAACAGAACAAAATGGGAGCAGAATAGTTCAGCTCGAAGGGACCCACAAAGACCATCAAATTCAACTGCCTGACCACATTGGGGCTGACCTAAAGTAGGGTCCTGCCCTGGGTAGGCACCAAATCTGTTAGTAGAGAGGGAGGTGTCATACTGCTGTGATGACAGGAGAACAAACATAAAGTTGGGAGATAATGTGTCTGATCCAGTTCACTGTAAAGTCAATGGCTACAGCCACATGGAGCTCTGCTAATGATTGCAAACTACAGGCAGCTGTGGCCTGGATTTTTACATGTTGGCAGTGATGCACAGTGAGAACCTAATTAAGAAAATCTTCCAGTTCAAGAAATGACACGTGAGTCTAACTCATTAAGGAAGCTCCATTAGAGGCCAATCATGTGCTTCCTTGATACCCTGTGTGTGAGCAGGCTGAAGCACTCCCTTTTGTGCTTATTTGAATTAAGGTATTTAACAGGTACTTTAAAGGCCAGTAAAGACAAAATGCCAGGTTTATGAGAAGTCAACACTGTCCTTGGGGCCAGATTTCCAACACAGCTTACTAGGCAACATAGCTGTCACTGTGTCAGCTCTGGTCAGGTTTCCAGGAAAACTCATTACTGGCTGTTCTGAAGTCTTTTCACGACTTATCACATACTTCAGTGCCTGAAGAAGAGATGAGCACTTTTGAAATTCACTTCTCTAATGTCTGGCTCTTCTATCAAGAAGCCAAATAGCTCAGACCATCCATTTTACCTCTCCAGTCTTTCCAACAGTAGACAGAAAAAATATACACTTGTTTTACCCTCTCACTCCTTTCGCTCTGCCTGCAGATGCCATTGAGTTGAAAGGAGGGTTATAACTCAACCATGGATAACTCTGCTCTCAGGAAAGTCTATGCATAAAGACAAGGTAGGGGAACAGAGGAGGGAGTGAAAAGGTGCCTAATAGAACTGTTCATGCTCAGCTGAGCTTTTCTGTAAACAGGATGGGAAAATGTTGTCTTTCAGTCTGATATAAAGTAAAAAAGGACTTTTTTAGCTAGAAAAATCATGGCTATTTAGCATAATTTATTTATATTATGCTCATCTGAAATGTTCAGTGACCCCCTTTGAGCAAGGTGTTATATAGACTCACAGAGCCATGATACACAAAGATACACTGAGGGTAAATATGGGCTTCAGGAACCAACAGTGCTCCAGTTTTACAGATGAGGTTGCCTAGGTTCAGGGGATAAAATAACCTGAAGGTTATGGAAGGTTGTGACAAGGTTTAAACTATACATGATCTCAAGTGCCTGCCCTAACTCTTTCCCCAGCAGCATATCTCATCTACTGTTTGTTGAATTTTGCTTTTTGATAACAGAAAGGGGGGGCACAAATTCATGCAACTTTTCTGAATGCAAAATATAACTGAAGGGATTCAGACTACCCATCTCTCTATTAAAACCAGTTATCCCTCACAAAAAATGCTGTTCTTCTGAGGTCTTTTAACATTGCTTTTTGAAGTGATAAGGAGGCAGAAAGGAAAAATCTCTGCAACATACTGCTTTCCACATGTGAATCCATTGTCCTGATATATCTGAGGATATATGATTCTTTTGCTGATGTCAGACTTTGCATTACCCTAACCTTCAAGGCAGCCTAAATCATGGTAGAAGTTCAACTATTTCTTACTTCCATGGCAGGATCTCAGCTCAGATGAGAAATTTCCATTCCTCATGCCCAGCTCTGAACCAACAGTGACGGTGGGATCAAAACCTCCACAAATCTCTGACCCACTTCTACCTGCTCACACTAGGACAGCATGAATAACCTTCTCTGTTTCACCACTGCTACCGCAGGGCAGAAAATGAGTGACAAAGGGAGCACCTCTCTCTCTTACCCTACCAACAAACAGCAGACACCTAGGCTGGTGAGATCTGGTCATGAACCTGTGAAGGGCTAGGTTGCTCAGACTCATCAGGATGTGAACAGAAGGTGAGATGAGGAACCATCTCATTGGGCAGGCCTTCTTTAGACATACGTTAACCATTACTGTGTCCTCTACTTAGGCTTCTCAAATTGCAGCAGCACTTTTTCTAGCCTTGTCAGTTTGTGACACTACGGCCTTGGAGGGGGCACAGTCACTGGCAGGCTTCTGTCCCTTGGTAGCTATTTGGCTACTCTGTGAGAAGAGATCCCCCATACAGCACGCTAAATCTTGAGAAAAATGACAACAAAAGTCTGTGTAAAGCTATTGTCTCTACTTAGATGACCTCCAGGATCAGGTTGTTATCCTCCCTGTTTCCAGTACCCCAGCATTACTAAGGCATTTAGTTCACAGTTAAAAAAATTTAAACCCTACCCTCAGAAAAGGACACAAAGGCTACCTTTACCTATGGATGGAGCAAGGACACAGCTACAATTTCTCTGAGGCAGATTTGAAAAGCACAACCAACCCAGCTAACTTAATTTGCCAGTACGTAGTTAGAAGAAAAGCTAAGCTGCTTACTTCTTGCGCTGCTGAATCCCTGCAACAACGAGGAAAACAATTCCGGCCACAATGAGACAAAGAACAACACCAAATACGATAAGCCAGGCAGGTGTGGAGGGCTCAACAGGAGGTGCCAATGTGGAGGGTATCTTCAGGAACTGCAGCGTTTTGTCACTCAGTAGGAAGGCATTGTTGATTCTGTTCCGGTTCATCCTTCACAAAAAACAAAAAGCATCACAGCTCTTTAAAAAGGTATTTTATAAATAATAAAAAAAAAGGATAGGAGAAAAAAAAATATTTTCACATGTGTGCTGCAAGTCTGTTGGGGTTGAATTTGATCCAGCATGATGTTGGTAGGATTACACAGACCTTCACTTTAGCATAGATCCTGTCAGTAATCCATAGATACCCACACATTTATGGGATTTTGAATACCAGACTTCTTTATTCATTTATCTGAAATAATGGAAAATACAGATGAGACTTGAAGTACAGTATTATTAGTTGTTTCTGGTTTGGACCACATGCTGAAGACATAGCAATCTAAAATGGTGGCTCTGTTGTCTTGTTTATGAGACATTCAAGGATAGCGTGGGACTGGTGGAGCCACTCTGCAATGCTCAGAGGATTTTCTTGTCAGTGCCCCTTGGTTCCACAAACTGAACTGTCCTGCCTGTTATAGGCATGTACATCTGCTCTTGCTGATGTAGATTTTCTTAGATCCATGAGGCACTGGTTATTATTTGGTCCAGAAGAACCCATCCCCATTGCCAATATACCTTTCTTCCCCGTAGGATGTAGCTAAATGGATTTGCACTTTGCAGATGTTTTTTCAAATGAGTAGTACAACTGCTACCCTTGAATGGATATCTTCACTCACATTCATTTCTTTTGAGCATTTGCAGTAATTTCTGGATCTGAATCTAAGTAGTCTCAAAAGGATTTAGCTGTATCTTTCATTAGCTTTTGCAAGACATTTGAAAATTTTGACAAAATTTATTACATATATTGGTGTTTGGAGATTTTGATTGCAGTTGTATGATTCACATCATCTCTTTCTTGTATACAATTAAATTAATTTACCATAAAGGAAGTATTTCCTAAGAAATATTTCCCATAAGATATATGGTAAACAAAGGTAAAATTTTTAAAATTACTCTTCTTGAAAATTATCACGTTGACTATCTTTTAAGCAGGAAATTCTTACCCTTAATGGAAAGCTAGCATTCCTGGAGAGGACTGAAAGCCATGGCATATTGTAAGACTCATTATATGGTAAGCCGCCTGTGATTTAAAGAGATTTTCACCCTTATTGATATAAATGGTTCTTTGTGAGCAGCTGAAGTAAGCGTTGTTCACCCTTCTCTAATGGCTGGAGTTACAGACTTCTGTGCTGAAAGATGTGCAGGTAACTACAGGTGCTTATTGCGTTTGTATATGCAGAAATATATCCATGTATATTTATGCAAGATCTTGGGAACCATACAGAGCTTTGAGAAGGTTTGCCTTCCTCTTTGTTCTTAGTTTCTGGAGAACCTCATACTGTAAAATCCTGGTCCTCGTTAGCATTCTTACATGATGCTGTACTATACAAAGAATTTGAATAATAGTTTAGTATGGAAGCCTGCAGTCAGAAGCAATTGAATTTTAAAATATGTAGCTTTATAGAACACTTTAATTCTTGTTTCTGTGTTAGGTAGGAATTACAACTTTTTAAAAATAGCATATTCTTTTTTTGGGTGAGAGACAATAGTTAAAAAAACAAACATGCTATAGTAGTATCCAATTTCTCCTTCCAAGGGGGCATATAAAAGACTTAAGTAAATCAGCTTATGCTACTGAATGATTCAAAGAATAACAGAAATGGAAAAGGAAAAAAAATAAATCTGCATTCCAGCACTCTTAGAGAGCTTCAGTGAATAAATAATCTGCTTCCTCTACTAATGCTATGAAACTATTGTTTGGTGCCTCTGCAGGAAACAGTTTAATCTACTCATAAGCTTAAAAGTTAATCTTTCCAAAAGAACGCATGCTCATTCATCAGGAATTAGGCATTACACCTCCACAGAGATAACGTGAATTTTCAAGACAAAGTACAGAATGTCTAAAAACAAAGAGGTCTGTTTTCCACTCAGTGCTTGAGAAAGATATGTGAGTTATGCTGCCTGTGGGAGTCATCCCCATAAACCCCTTTTGTAGCTTTGATAGACCATTGAAGTCAGGTTTTTCGCTCTTCAACTCCACACTCTTGCTTTTATTGGCTACGGAATGTGATATTGAGTAGAAAATGAACTGATTTGTACCACACGGTACTTTGTACAAGTAATGCTCAACTACTGTAGCAACTAGCGTTCCAAAAAGAGCTGGAATGAGAATAATATGAGTACAAGGTTATTTAAACCAAGCTGGGACACAGCCAACTGTTCTCATGAATAGCTCACATGAGCTCTTCTCATGTAAACATTGACTTCTACAGGAAGCCTGAAAAATTGTACTTGATGAGAACCTAAAGGGAGCCCATGGTTACTAGTCCTGGTGCATGCAGATGGGCATACAACATGCAATGAGCATGAAATGATATAACCTCCCCCCAAAAAAAGGCTGTAATCCTGTCACCTGAGGAAGAAGGCTCTCTCACAAGGAAATGTAGCAGCCAGATGCCAGCAGTGCTTCTGCCATGCACAGGATACCAAATTACAGCTTGGGCTCTGGGAAGGGGTCTAGCTTTCATCCAAAGCCCCAGCATTAAGAGAGACTCCTTCCACAGTTATAATCCCAAGGTTCACATGCTTTGAATTCTGTGGGCCTGTTAAAAATCCTGCTAATCTTACATGCCTGAAAGAGTACTGACCCTTTGGTGTTTTAACTACTTCAATTAGTTCATCCTTAAAGAGGCAGAGTGCTTATTGATGGCCCCAAGGGAGAAAGCATCCTCAGTCAGCAAGAAAGGAGAGGCTGCAGAAGCAGTGACTGTACCTGATGGCTGCCTCTACCTCGCTTCCTGGAACAGTTGTTGTATTTTTGGTAGAATCCGTGACCACAAACCAAAATGACACCCGATCCGTCACATTGCAGAGCAGCACATTGGAAATTCTACAGATGGTTAAAAAATATATAATAATAATAAATTAAAGAAGCACGGGAGTAATTAATGAAATATTTCAGATTTTCCTAAAATACTGCTTTCATCTAAGGGGAAATAATCTTCTAAAAAATGCAACGGTTAATGCCCAAGGAAGAAACACCACCCATGGCATTTCCCATTTCCCAATCTGATTGAAAATATGTAAGCTTATTGAGACCAAAGTTGAGCCTACAAATGAATTTCTGAATCTACTACAAACTTGTCTGAACTTGGACATACATTTAGCATAACAACCCAGAAAAATAAATATTTGTATCTTAATCATCTGGGCTTTGAAAAAAAAAAAAAAAAAAAAAAAAAAAAAAAAAAAAAGCCATATAATAAGATAAACATATTGATGAAATAAGAATTTTATTTTTGACAACCAGTGCTACAGGAGCCAGATGTGGTGATTCCCCATACAATCTTCAAGTGTGTGCAGTCCTACAGGGTACACTTTCAGGAGGGAGGAGAGGAGGTCAACACGGAAGGAAGAGCAAAAAAAATGGTGTTATTCTCTTTAACATCTTTCTGCACTGTCAAGCACAGAGCGGAGGCAAAAGACTGAAAATAAACATCATACTGGCACTGATCTATGCCCTTTAGGATGTGCTATGGCATATTTACTTCATCTGTTTCAAAAGAAGATTGCTTGGTTTTATGTGAAGTTAGCAGTGGAAGGCCATAGGCATGCAGCTTCTCATTGCATACTATGTAAAAAGTGGGTGACATGTCTTTAATATGCTTTTTTTTCATAATCTTATAAACTTGTAATCTATCACTGATACTAATAAGTGTACTAAATGAACTATAATTAGAAATAACTTGCAGAATGATATCACCATGAGTGTTAAAAATAAAGAATTAAAGGCTAATACATGTATAACAAAGTGACTGAGAATAGATGGTGCCTTCGTGTTCTTCTGTCTGTTCCTATTTTTTATTCATATAGCTGAGAAACCAGCCAAACACACGTGTGATATACAGAAATTGCTGTAAATGTAGCACTTATTACAGCATGGCAAGGAATATGGTATGTATCATAGAAGGACATCCAAAAACTTGAAAGACAGAGACCTAGAGAGAGAAAAATAGAAAACAACAACAACAAAACATTCTGTATCATTAATAAATAACCCTTTGGCTCAGGATTCAGATTTCCTGGTCATGCCCAAGCAGTGAGCAGATATTCCAAAAGCCCACAAGCAAGAGTTAGGACTATTTCTATTGCCAGGGAGTAGCCCAGCCTTGTTTCACCTTTGCATAACGTCTGCCTGGCCACAAGCATAACAAAGCTGCCCTGTCCCTGTTTTGTTGGACCCCATTTGGGACAATTGGACTTCAACTACTATCTGCTGTTACAGAGGAGACCCTGCTGTGAGCCAGCAAAGAATACAGCTCCTCTCTTAATTAACTACGTTGATGCCCATTATTATCACTGGATTCAAGGTTTGGACTGTCCATCATCAAAATGCAAATTTTAACATTTCCTTTCCAGTTTCTGCAATTCCCAGGGTGACAAATCCCCCACTGGAAGCAATGACCTGCCACAGAGCTCTGTTTTGTAGTGCCATCTTCTGGCTAATTACAAACTTAATTAAATGACTGCTAAGAAGACTTCAGCAATGGTCTGAGGAGCAGAAAGCACAAAGTAGGAAAGAACGTAAGGTAACAAATGCTGCCCTTAGGTGCGTAGTCTCCAGCCAGAAGAAGGAAAAAAAAGGGGGAAAAAAAAAAGAAAAAAATAAATGAGATAGCTGTTAAGGCAGGACAGGCATTGGCTTGTTCACAACAGTTCACTTTGGATATTTTGTAGAAATACTTCTTGCTACAAGCTTTTTTGGGTGGTGGGTGCTTTTTTGGTTCAGGTGCCCGAGTGTTTGGGTAGGGCAGCCTTTAATTTTACAGAGAAGGTATATATTCCACAGAGACATGCAATAAAATGGAAAGCAATGATTTTGCAGAACTGAAATACCTACTTTTACCTCTCAGGAACAATGTCAATTTTGCAAATACAGAGAATTTTCTTGGATAAAAGAGGAAAGCCATCCTCTGGGATTTTAAAAGATGTTCACATCAGTTTGCTGGCAACAGTCAGAAGATGAAAGTAGATTTATTCCACTCAAAATAAAAGCAAAGCACAAAATTTACAGGAGGGGAAGAAAAAGTGTCTACTTTTGGCTGGTGGATGACAAACTCTTGCTGACTTCACAGAATATCTAAAAATGTTTCTGTGGAGGAAGTTTTCCATCAGGAGAATTTATAACAGTAGGACCTAAATCTTCACGCTGCTGCAGTTCGTAAAGAAGGAATTTCAGTGGTGCACTCAGAAACTGGTCTGGGTAGAAAATCTGAGTTCATAGTGCTCTACAAATATTCTCAAAATGTGGTGAGTGAGCAAAGCTCATTCCTCCAACAGAAAGACACATTTGGTGGGTAAAGACTGGCAGAACACCCTGGTGTTCTCTACAGCCTCAGAGACTCAAAGGGACTCTTCATCCCGGGGTCTTCCTTACATTGCCAAGGCTTTCAGCATGGGTTAGGGCAGTCAGACATCGTTGGGGGCAGTGTCTCCATCTCTGGATGGTACAGCACTGAATCAGCTGGGCAGCAAGATTCATGCTAAGTTACGGAAATTTTGCCTCCTTAATGCCCCCTGTTGTGTCTAAAATCCTCTCCTGATTATCAGCATCTAAAATCCAGCTTCACTGCTGCTTTTCATCAGCGGAATCTGCATGATGCAAATCCTTTCGGGCTCCAAAAAGAATAACACTGTTCTTGAGAAGGTCAAAGAGGATTGCATAAACACCAAAATGGACTAGTTCAACAAGCACCAGTGTGACCAATGTGACTTGCAGCAGGTATGCCCCCCCACACTTTTTTTTTTCTTCCAGTGCTGTTTGCACATAGGTTTGATTTGCAGCATGCTGAAGTGTTCGAAGCTCCTTATGGAGATTTAGAGGATTATTTAGGGATAAGAAGATCCATCAGGGACTCTGTGGGTGCTGGGTGCCCATGGTGGCTGTAAACTAGTGGGAGAAGCATGGGCCCTGAGTCCCAAGTGTCTATCTCTGGCTATCTCTACAAGTTTATTTTGTTGTTCTAAGTGGTCAGAATATTATTTTATTTTATTTTTTTTTAGTATCAAAAATGCCTGTCCTAGGAGGATAGATAATGTTGATGAACTTTTTCTGGTTATTCCAATAGGAAAACTGCACCTTCCTTACATGGAAGATGTAAACTGGGGGAAGATGTACCAAAAGTAGATCCTTTCATTTGAACATAGGTAAATGTAATCACGTTCTTTCTACTCTAGAGATTAATCAGCGTCAGGCCCAAAAGAAATGCATATTATTTCAAATGAGTGACAGATTAGGGAAACCAGGATTGCTAACACAGGCTGCGGACAATTATCTTCTAATACTGGCATATCAAAGGTTTGCTTATGTAATTCATGAATGTATATATTGAGAATTAATCAAAAAGCTATACAGAGAGCAAGACATAAACTACATGTATTTCTCCACTGAACATTAAACCTCTGTTTTTTCTGTATTAATAATTACCGAGTAATTTGATGGATTATGTTTTTTTCCTGTTTCACACAACCTCGACAATTTGTCAAGCCTTTCAAACATTAAACACAGCTCCATGACTTATTAAATTTTAGTTTAGAAATTAACTTTAGAGAAACTGAGATACAATGTGCCATCCTGTCCACTCTGAGTGGGATCACTTGGTGGTTACACAAGGGCAGCACCAGCACCAGCTGCTCTTTCCAGCAGCACACTCAAATGCTTGCCATCACAGGCTGGCTTTAATCCAGCTTCAGAGCCTAACAAAAGATTACTTTGAATCTCAGAAATGATGGGCAGGCTGCAACAATGGTTATGCTGATCCACCAGAAAATTATATGGGGCCTGATCCAGCTTGCTGAAGTTAATGACGTTCAGTCTCATGTGGGAGTCAGTTGTGGCTGCTGCTGCAGTGTCGTGGCTTAGAAATTAATGGGATGTTAAAGGGGAAGTTTGTCACATTCTGGTTACATCCCCATGCATAAATTATACTCTGTCAGAAACAGTGTTTGTTTGTAAAACAGCAGTGGATTTTTCATAAATTTTTCTTTTGTCAAAAATGTTTAACTGACTAGATGCAAAATTTGGGTAAATTTAGATGCTACCAGAATGCAGTCATTTGCAACTTGTTCCTTCTTTTATCACAGAATAATTTATAATCTTTCACATCTCATGATGAAAATCTGCTGGCATTTACCTGTAAATGTGCCCACAGTGTAATGCAATTTATTTGCCACAAGTTTTCTCAGAAGATTAAAAATTCTACCTCACCTGCAAAGTAGCAGAAAAAACTGCTTTGTGACAAAAGGTATAAGATTTCACTCAGTCTGAAGCTCAGTGAGTCCCTTTGGGATCGAGGTTGGGTACAGCCTGGCACTTACCTAACTTGTAACTATGTGGGGTCCTTGCCTCTGCCCCAGCAAGTTATACTCACGAGGAAGTCCTATACTGTCTTAGAAACAGGAAAAGATGTCCACACCTAGCTATTTGCAAATATTGTACTGACTTCTCCTCTGACAAACTTAGTAGCAGGAAATTGTTGACATGTGCAAGCCCACCTCCAAAATGGAGTAACTGCCATTATCATATTTGCCCATAGGAGAAACTGTCTTGGTAGGAAATTGAGCTAAGTGAGCACAAATGCTGTGGTTTTCCAGAGTACATAAGCACAGCTTCCATTAAATTTTTATCTCCTTTCATACTGGCTTGAATTTTTCCCATTCCTATACCAAACTTTCTAACATTAGTTGAGTCTGCAGACAGCCATGGTACTTGAAGAGAATAAAGCTCACTGGTGTCTGACACAGGCTTTTTGCCATGTGAAAGCACCATGGATTTGAAGGAAGAGAATAATAATTTAAAAAGGGGACCTGGGACTAAAATAAATATATGGAAGCAAATCCTTATGGGTCAGAGACTGAATTAAAATTCTCCTTATTTGAAAACCTGAGAAAAAGCCCTGCATAATCACCTTTAATTAGCTTGAATCTTAAATTCATTTTTTGTAAGTGTCATTTTCATTGTGTGCAGTGGGAACATACTTGACTGTTTTTGTTAAGCTCGGTGTAATGGCTCCTTTGATGAAATAAGGCACCTTCTGAGGAACACGAATAAAACAATAAGGAACCAAGCAATCCTGTGACGTAGAGGGGGAACGCATCTTCTATTTACGAGAAAGTGCATCAGCCACAATAGTCATCATATGACTAAAGATAACTAATGTCTTTGCAAATGTGCACTATGCTTCATCTGATGCAATGATGGCCTAAAGCAGGTTTTTTTTTGGAAAGTAAATTGAAAACCTTATCCTCATTAGCGTACCAGAGAAATAAATCTTTCCTTTAAGATTGAAAAACAATGAAAAAAAAAAAAAAGGCCTATAGAAATACACTCACAAGGTTTCTTGTTTAAGGAAGGGAAGAATATACTGAAGTTACAGCCTGCTAAATGGTCTGTCTGATCTGGCATCTAATTTCATAAGTAGCAATGATCAGAAGCCTGAGAAGAATATTCAATGCCTTAGGGTAGATTTAATCCCAAAACCAATTAATGGCTGATTTATGTCTGAACAGCAACATCTGAAACTTCTTGATGCTAGGTAATTCAGCAGCTGTAATATTAGGGAGAGAGCACCAGCACAGCAATCCACCTTCCAGTTCTCTGGCTCAGCTCATCTTCAGCTGAAGCTACACGCTGAGTAAATGTGCACCAAAGCTGCTTATTCAAGGATCCACACTGCATTTCTTGACCTTGCCGATGGGCCCCTTCACCTCTTCCCAGTACGGCCTCCAGAAGGCATCATGTCTTACTGCCAGATTCTGCTAGAGAAAATTGGCACAGCCCCACTGAGAGCGACGGCTGTGCCACTTCACATCAGTGGGGACACTGCTCCAAAGGCTGCATGCTGCTTAAGACAGAGAGAGTGACATTTAACATGTATCTGGGTGTCAAAAGAATACACTGGAACAGTCTGCTTTTGGAGGCTGTATATAATGATTTCTACACCTAGTACAGCAGGGAATGGCCCACTAGGTGCAGCACTGTTAATAGGTATAAGGCAAATCAGAGTAGATGCTTACTGAGTTGTAGTCTTGCTGGAATATCTTCTCATAGTAAAAGCCACCATTGCTTTGAAGAGGTACTCTTCATTTGTATCCCAGGCATACTGTAAAGGAAGATGGAAAATCATCGGTTTCAGCTTCAGTGCTTGCAGTACAGCAGGGAAAAAGAGTCACTGAACTTGGAATGCTATGCTGATCAAGAAAATTAATAAATTCACTGGTTGTGCTATGAAAATAAATTCCTGTCTCTTATTTAGTGTGCAAAGATGACTTCTAATGGCTACTGTGAAATGCAATACAGAGTGAAATGAACTTTTCCAAAAACTGACTGAATGGAATGTTTCTGGAAACTGGCCAAACTGGAAATGTAAAGCACCTCATATAAAAGACCAGGCATGTTACCCGAATTCTCCCAACACAGCTGCACCAATTGCCTTGACTCTTTTGTTGTTGGATCAGCCATGTTAAGGAGGTTTACATTCTCTCTTAAAGACCAGATGGTTCTGCCAGAAAATAAAAAAGCTAATGTTGAAGGTAGTCTGTGGGAGCTGGATGCCAGGACACCAGGAAAAAAAAAAAAAAAAAAAAAAAAAAAAGAGATTGTGGCCTTATTGCTGCACGCTGTTCTTACAACATGAAGATAGACTCAGCTACAACCCTTAGACTCAGCTACAAGGAAAAATACTACCTCACATTTGAGATAAAAGAAAGAAAACAGTATCCTTACTATTTCAATAAAAAGTAAAAATGGGCTCCGAAAACTTTTCTCTGTTGTCTTGATGAAAAATCATACTTCCATTATTTCAGGTTTCTGAGAAAGCTTCCCTAGGTTCCCCTGGGCTTTCATTCCCACATGCAATTCTAATGACCAGCAAGAACTGCACCTATTACATTTTTATAACAAAAGACGTGACTGAGGCATACTGATTGAATTTCCCCTTTCAGCAGATTATAAAGATTAATAGTTTCTTGGAATTATATTAGTGGAGGTTAGAGGCAGCTTTCGTCAGTCAGTCAGAACACAAATCTAATCTTTAACTTTCAGCATTAAAAAAAAAATCCTCACTGTAATCATCCAAAACAGAAAACCAGTGGAGTGGATACTTAACCCTGCTGACAACCTGGACCTACTTTTTCATGGGCCCTTATAACACACTCAAAACCCATCAATACACATCAAAAAACAGTAGACAAAATACCACTGAAAATGCCAAATCTTAATCCTGTTTTTTAAATTCTGATTTTGGATGCATGCAGCTGCAACCTCTCTGTAAAAAGGAGGAATCCACTTTCCAGACACCATCGCTCATTTTGCTCTGACATACTGTGGACTGGGAGCCTGAATAGGGAAGGAGGCAGACAGATAAAGGGCAGAAAGTCATACCGATCATATTTATCACCCCTAAATGAATGACGAGTGGTGAAATGGGCTGAGATACGGTTGGCCAGGGACAACAAAGCTGAGCAACAGACAGCTTGAGCAGCATTAAAAGCCAGATGCAGCGCTGAGAATCAGGTTTCTGACTCACCACTCCTGCTTTGTGAATGAAGGGAGGTGTAAACACACTGTGATAATGCATGCCAATCGGGGAACTTAAAGTGAAAACAAAACAGGAACTGTTTGCATAAAAATATTTAAAAGCCCGTATTTTGAGCCCACTGCACTGATGGAAATGTAACAGTAATGTCAGCAATAGTATTAAAGGAAAAAGAGACAATGTAGTAGAGGAAGGAATACAGATGAGAGCCATAAAACTATTTACCATAATTTTAAAGACATCTGTATTTAAACCACAGAGCACAATTTGCAGCAGTAAAAAGGCAGATCATCCTCTTTTTCGTGTGTGGCACTATTGACTGAATCCCTACGTGCCATCTGTAGTCCTTGAGAGCAGGTCCAAAAGGACAGAATAAGATCATTTGTTATCCAGTGGATTAAACCAGCTGTAGAGATAATTCCCTCAGATGGATAATGGATAATGATGAAACTCAATTTCATGCTTACATGGACACAAATGCAATACCTGTACTACATACTATATGTACTTGACATGTTTATGTTTAGTGCACTACATGTATATATGCAAAATGCATCGTTATGAATGAAGTACTTGGTTTTCATGATGAAAAAATAATGATAACGATGAAGCATAGAGCTTCTTTAAGACAAAGTAACAAAAAGGGTACCAGCTCAAAGAGTAAGCACTATAAAACAGACAGAATAAACTGCGAGAAATGGGAGAGGAGACTGGCAGAGAAAACCAAGTGGCACTCAGGGGTCTGCTCTAGTGAGGAGAGGGAGCTGCAGGATGCCTTCTAGGCAGAAAGCTGAGAATCCCCAGGAAAACAGGGACGAGACAGGAGGAAGAGGAGATGGAGATGGCTGTGGGCTCCATGTTAACAAGACCCTCTGAACATGAGTGCTTGCAGGAATATGTGTGGTGAGAAGGCAACATAATTAGGAGGAAGATGGTGGCAAGAATGCCTTTAAGGTAATAAACAGTACAGACGCAGCTGACTGTCAAAGCCAGTCTGCCAGTCTATTGCTTGCTGTGAAAGAAGAGGTTGTTGAGTCAATGGGGAAAAAAAAGAAATGATGAGTGGTGTAGATTGTAAAATGCTATAGTAGTTCTCTCAGGAAAATAAAATGTATGTTAGTAGAACAAAATTATAATCTTATAAACTTGTCCCTGGGCAACCTGATCCATGTGCAATGGTGATTTGGCCTTGAGCAGCAGAGGACTAGGGACAGCTGAAGGTCTCTTCGTGTGGACATCACACCTGCTCACTCTGGTTGACTCTGGCCCTTTTGAGCTAACTCTATAGCTTTTCTAACTCCGTGACTAGGAAGCAACCAGTGACTCCAGAAGGCACTCATAAAGTTAACACCAAAATCAGAGAGACTCTGTCCGTAAATCACCTTCCTTCTGTTTAGGTTTCCTCCCACTAGCTAGCTAGCAGTGTCTCTGTCTCTGACATTATTTTCAAGTAACATGAAAACAGCTAGATACTTGCTATATCTTATCTGCTATTTCTACGCCACCATGATAAGAACAACATTAGTACACTAAAACAGTATTCTCTGCCTAAAAGTGCAGCCTACCTTGTGAACAGATGAAAAAATGCTGTCTGTCCTTATTAGTATCACTCAAAGTATGCACTAAATCACGTGGAAAACTATACTAACCTATTTCCTATACTCCTGAATGTATGTAGGAGTTATCCTTCCAATCCTACAGCAACATGCCCATGGATGGTATCACAGTCTTCTGCAACCATCTAGCTTGAAGTGACTTGAAAGTGAATGAAACAGAATTAAATAGCAAAGCATCATACCAAGATATTCCAAACTGATTGTGTACTATTGTGATGCTATGACAGTGTTGACCTTTTCTTTGCTAAAATTAAAAATAAAAATCAATAAAAAAGCAAAGTTTAACAAATTATTAAGCCAAAATGAATTTCAGTTTGACAGCAGTTTCAGTTTTCAGTTTCAGTCATTTGCAGAGAAGACTACCATGGCTATGAAAAGGAAATATTAGTTGTGCAGTTAATAGATTGTTCATTATCTGTGGATAATTTTGTATGGCATATTGTTCTAAAATGCTGGTTTAGATTGTACCATTCTTTGGTCTTAAATCCACTTTACTGTATGAAATAAACTACCAGCTATTTACCAAAAAAAAAAAAAAAAAAAAAAAAAAAAAAAAAAAAAGGCTCCTCACTTTTTTTTCTTTCTTGTAATATAAAAATATAAAATGTAATATAAAAACTTTAAGATGGCTTGTATTATACCTTTTTGGGGATGAAAAATAGAAAAATTACAAATGATCAGACAAATCACCCTTATTTTACTATAATTTCAGAACTAAAAAACACTGAAAAAGAGCACTGCTGGGAGCTGCAGTTTTTATTCTTTGTTTTGAGCCTAATGTTTTGAACCAAGATTAAATCAAAATATTTGTAGTTATTATCACGAGGTATTTCAATAAGGATTTTAACATATTTTCAGCGATAGGATTGCAGTATTTCACTAATTTTTAAAACAATCTAGGTTTGCACAACTGTTTAATTAGTCTCTCACCCAAGAGGATTGACTTCAATACCAATTTCCACAGACAAATACTTTAGTATTTATCTTGAACATTTCTTCTAAATGTATCCGGCTTATGAAGTTCCCAGTGGAACTGGTCTCTGCTACTGTTAAAGTTACCTAATAGTCCAGGGTAGTTTCAGAATGGCTTCTAAGGTCACAGGGAGATTCTCATACCTCCAGTCTCTTCTAGCACGTAATTTATGGTGCTCTGTTTCCCAGGGCTCCTAACAATCAGACATCTTCCAGTGGAGATGACTGTCTAAGACATTTGATATCTAATTTTATTGAGAGCCCTGTAGCACTGCAGATTTGCTGTAAGCATTCAAAACTGAAAATGAATATTGCCTTCGGCCATATCTCATAGCTTTTTAGATCAGGAAGGACCATTTGGTCATCTAATTTCCCAAACTCTTGCATATTACAGACCATTATTGCTCACACCAGCACTTGTACATTAAGTCCAAGGACTTGAATTAAGCCAAAGCATTTCAGTCCTCATGAGACTAACATGTGCACCACAGACAGGGAAGAAAGGGCACTATCCAAAGCCTACATTAGCAGAGAACTGATGAGATATGCATGAATGAGCTCTACAGATCATGCTTGTCTGAGAGCCTGACATAAAATCCCATTTCATAAAGATCTCACAATCGTTTCCTGCTTATCATCCCTGACATGCTTGACTTTACAATTAGCACTCTCAAGAAGATATGTTTTTCCCAAAATACAGACTTAGATTTATGCAGCATCTCTCATGCATGAAGTGCAACATCTCTACTGTTTGTTTTTTTTTCAAGAAAAAGAGAAAGAAGAAAAAGGAAAATAGAAAACAAAACAACAACAACAACAAAAGAATAGAAACACAGAAAAAGAAAAAAAGGAATAGAAAAAGGAAAAAAACACATTGACAGAAAATTATCTTTATGAAAAGTGAAGCTTTACACTTCACTTACAGGATGTCATTTTAAGGAGTGGGCTAGCCAAATGCCATGATGTGAACAAGCTATTACAACTAACACTTCAGAACAAATTGCTTGAGCTGCCTTCAGAAATTTTACAGTGTGTATTAGGTTTTTTTTGGCAGATGTTTAGTTAGGAAGAATATGTGAAGATACTTTACTTACTGCATTATCTCCCAAAGCTGTTTTGATACTAAGGCGTACTTTGAAAGCATTCTGTGCATCTGACACAAAGAGAAGAAAGGCAAACATATATTGATAGTCACCAAGATAGGATTTTAAATCATCTACTTCTCTAATTATTTTACAGATCACAGTTTCTAAATTTGCCCTAACGGATTACCTGGTTAGGAGAACCAGAAGCTACTAGCATGAATAAATGCATCAGCCCTATAGATTTTCAGTCAGGTTTACCATGACCTCCTTAAAATATGTAAGATCAACTTCCATACTTAATTTGAAAACTCAGCAAGGAAGTGAATGCTCAGAGTTACCATATTCAAACTGGATGCAACCAGCTAAAATAAAAAACATAAGAAGCTGACAGCTCTGTAGACATAAGCTCATAGCTAAATTTCCCCGAGGAAGAGTGGGAAGCAGCAGCTCCAAAACTTACCTGGCTTGCACAGCTCAGCATGAGCAATGGTAACTACAGAGAAAGTAAGCAGCAAAACCTGTAACATCCTTTCAGTGTGGAAAAGTTGAGGCAAAAAGAAGTAAGTCTCTGGTGTAAAGCACTCTTAAACTTTCTGTGACCCAGGATTAAAGCATCAGCAGCACAAGTGAGCAACCAAGAAAAAAGGTTTAATAATTAACCCTCGTTATTTTAGCTAAAACGGGCACTAGAAACAACTGTCTTCTGTTAGTTATTTACTACCTTTATCTGTAGTAAAAGGGAAAAAAATAAAGCTGTTATAAGGTTTTCATTTTCCTTCTTCCTTTTTAGAATAATGCAAAGCATTGCACAATGTGTTTTTTCGTTTTTTGTTTTTGTTTTTGTTTTGTTTGTTTGTTTTTTAATTTATTTATTTTCCCCACATGTGATTTTAGACACATATACACAGGATGTCTGGGATAATTAATGCCAGGCCAGACTGCAACTCCGGTGGCCGGATGCTGTGCTGTTACCCACAGGGTGTTCACCTGCACCGATGCTGTACCAACAAAATCAGCTTCTGAGACAATACTCTGAGCTAAGAAAAGTTATAAAGGTAGAGAAGTACTTTCTTGCTGTTGGAGTGTCACTACAGTAGAAACTGGAATGAGAGACCCTGCAACAGAAGGACTTGATGGGGAAGCACGTACACATATTAAATAAAGATGCATTCTAGTTTTGTTTGCACAAGGTGCTGTGTATACACACACGCACACATGAATGGAAATATGTTAATGATGTACTCTATGCCCTTAGCCAAACATTTTCAAAGACAAAGAAATAAATGCAGAGGAGAAAGATTTCAGCAACTGAAATGTCTCACCAAGAGGTGAACAGTCTTTGCAATTGAGGCAGCAAGACAGGATTATTTTATAGCAGTCCGCTGCTGTATTCCCCCTGCAGCCATTCTGATTAATGGTTAGTTCCTAAATTGAAGATTTCTTCAAAATTACTTTCAGTCGGCCCTTTAGCACTAGAAGTGTGTCTTGAGACTGCAGACCCAAAGACCTTCACAAGAATGGCTACCACTGAGAATATTTTATGTAACAGTGGGATTGAATTTATGGAGGACAGTAATCAGTATTTACTACATAAGGATGCTTGGAGTTTCAGGTAATTGAGAATTTACTGATTCACTAATTTAATCTTGTTTTTAGAAGCCACTGTTAAAGGAATTGATACCCCATCTTTAAAAGTCATTAAATCAAGCTGATTCCTGGCCGTCTGTTTACTCTCTCTAGACAACCGGTTCCGAGTACAAACCTATTGGATTTGTTATCTGCTTAGATGTTCAATCTATGCCTACGAAAACAAAAAAATGACCTATTCATTCCTAATGATGGCTCAAATTAACACACTGTGGCTACACGCATCAAAAAGAGACCACTAAAAATGTACAGATGCATGAAAAACTACCATTTTTCTGTAGAATGTGTAATTTAAGAAAATCTAAAAAGACTCTGAGCCTTGTTAGCCTCATGCTAAATTCATGTACGTTGCTTCAAATAACGAGAGCTTGAACTCTGCTCCCTCTGTGGAGGACATACTGCAGTACCGGGGAAGATGGTGGAAAAACAAAGCATTGATTTCCCACACGCAAATGGAGCTGATTGCCACTGTGATGTGTTGTCATCTCTCCCTGCTGTTGGCCACTGGAAATCAGTTCTTGCCTTAGAAACACACGGAGCCAGTGTCAAAGTACATTGCAGGCACACAGTGCCCAGCGGGAACGGCCTCGGAGGGTAAGGCTGGATTCCCTGATCACAGCTGCTGACTTCCAGCCAGGATGGCTGATTTTACTGATTTGTCACACTGGCAAGCAGCAATACGGGTGATTTTCCTGGTGGTGAGGGGAGGAGGCCAGGAGAAGGAGTGGTGTGATAAATGCCCCAGCTCACAGCTCATGGAGAGTGACCTGGATGCGTGCCAGATGCACCCAGCTGATGCCCCACGCGCTTATTCAGCTGTGCATACACAGACCACTGCACATAAACAACTGATTGCTGCACATCTATAAATCTTTTTCCAAAGCTGGCATGATTTTCATTTATTTTTTTATGTATCTACTTGTTCTATTTTTATTAAACCAGGCAGGTGGACACGCCTAGACTGGGTATTAGCAGAAAACTAACTCCTCTTCAAACCCACCACATTTTTTAACACTGTCATAAAAAAGCACTGTAACTTCTCAGGTTACAAATGCCAGCAAAATGTAGGAAGACACACATTTTGCCACTTTGCATCCCTCTAATAAAACTACTTGTATGGGTTACTTTCTGCCCAGCCTCTTTTCTCCCATTTTGGCCAGATAATTTAGCACTGTAAAAGCACATCTGCATTTGTTTGCTACTGATTAATCAGCCAGACATCAGTTTGCTTGAACAAACAACAATCTACATGCAAACAGAGCATGCTATTAATCCAGTATTTTGATGTACTTGATCATTTAATAGTTCCTCTTTTGTATTAATTTTGTTTTTCCTAACTACGGCTGAGCTACAAGTGAGAGCCACGCAGAATCCCAGGTGTAATCTGCAGCTTGAAAATAAAATTGAACTAGTGCAAAGAACTAGTTCCCTTCTTGCACTAAGTGAATTTGTCTGTCTGGTTGAAAATCAGTATAATTTTTTTCTGCCCTTGTGACTTCCAGAAGTTCATGCATTATCTGTATGTGTATACCTAACAGTATACCATAATTCAGACTTCTAAACAAATGAAGAAAGGACTGAAATTTCTAGGAGGCATATGACTTGGTAAAACAAATAAAACCCTTCCGTCCTCTCAATGTGATTAGCAAGGTACTTTTCTGCTTCTTTCAATGCCTTTGAAATGGAAAAATCCCAGGAAAGTAAAATATTGATAGCCATCATATAAGTTAATTAACAGCTATGGCCAAACTTAACCTCAGTTTTCAAATTTGACAAATTAACAGTTTTAAACTCTGTGGAAGTTAATCTTTACTCTTAAATAGTTGTGTTCAACTCTTATGAGGAAAGAGTCAATGTGCTACTGTCAGCATTAGTCACTCATGGAAATGTACCTAGAGCACTGCAGGCTGGCTGTGCACGGTGCTGTGCCGTTCCCTGAGCACAACGCTGCACATCCCCTGCAGTCTTTGGTAGCTGGTGAGATGAGGATCTACCTGAATGTCAGCAGCATCAAATAGACCAGCGCCAGCTTTTATAGGTTCAGCCTAAGTCTCATTAAATGGGAGTTTTTCTATTAAGTTTTTGGGAAGTGGGTGTGGAATGGGGACCATAATCACAGTCATCATTATAATATTGGAGAAATAGCTTACATTGTCACGGAGTTTTTATCAGGGCTCACAGAAGTAGACAGTGTCTGAGAAATCATTTACCCCTCGAGACAGCAGTGCAGCCATTAGGCAGCAGGTGTGGGAAAGATGTGCTCTCTAGATTTTGCATGTATCACCTTGAAGCATGCACTTTGCAGTGAAAAGCACAGATGGTCACCCACAGTGGGGTTAGCATTGGGAATGAGCAACAGCAACTTTCAGCGTGATAGGGAAGGACGGTGCAGCTGCTGTCACTTCACCAACCACTGTACAGTACAAGCCATGGCCCTAAAGCTTCCTGAGTGTCTCGTTATAAAAATGCATTTTCTCAATCAACCAAATTCACGCTGGTGATTTACCGCCATTTCCTACATATTCTCCTAGTTCCATTTTCTTCAGACAGGAAAATAAAAGCTGTACACTTATTAATTTTTCTTTTCTTATTTCCCCATGGGGCTTGGGCATACAACAAAAAACAATGAAAACTTTGTATCTGCCTGCACTGGTGGGAAATACAAGGAAAATGGAAGCCAGAGGGATCATGTGGCCACTACGTGAAAATATGTGCTAAACGGGGTACCTGTACTGTGGTTCAGATGTATGTATGTATTTAACTCTGTGCATATATCTTACAAGGCATGTAGATTTATAATGGAATAGTATGTAGTCTCAGATTGTATAATCAACGTTTTGTATTCTGTAATGTACAATCAGAGCAGCTCATATATACCTTCTCATGATGGGACATGTATATAACCAGTATAGGTATATTTTTCTTTGGGAAACATGCAAGAGTGAGTTATGCAAACTTCTTGAAGGTTTCCACAAAAATAAACCATGTCTGAAGAGACCTCTGTTCTCCAAACCCAGTGTCAGGGCTAAGAATTACCTACTAGAAAGCTACATTATCTTGGATACGTGAATTGATCTTGCCAAGCAAGAATGGTCATATTTGTTTCTTTCTGACATGAATACTTTCATAGCACTGTGACAATTAAATTACATGGAATTCTGCACCTGTGCTTGAATAGCAGGAGGTTGCTACATGCACAAATCTGTAAGAATAAACAAAATGGAGAAAAATGCAATTATTTTATTCTTGTTGCAGAAGCATTTCCAGAATTATGAACATCTGTTATAGCTGATTTTTTTTTTTGTGTGTGTGTGTGTGTGTTGTCTTATAAAGAGATCCTCCTTTTCACTATTCAAATGTATAATCTTAAGACAGTTATTTCCACAAATGTACTTGGAAAATGCCATAATGAAATGTACGATACTAATGAAAGAAATGAGTGAATTTCTCAATATTGACTTACAGACAATTTAAAGGAGAGTTGTTATGGTACTTACTCTGTTAAAAGGATGATAAAAAGTTGTAGCTGTAACTCCTTAACAAAATCAGATTTATGAAATATTTGTGCTTTTTCACAACTTTCATGAATGTGTATGGTTCATCAGTCCTAAAATGCACAATACTGCCATCTTCTGTATCTAATGCAGCAATTTGTGTGTTGTTTTACATGTTTGTTCTGCACAAGCAAACAGTAAAAGTAATAGTGATGTCAACTCCATTTTAAAAGACAATCTATAATCTGAAACATGGTGAAGTACTAGTAGAAAGGTCATCATCTGAATATTCATTGATCAACTGGCAAACATAGCTGCTGACTACAGTAGTCACAATTGCTTTAAATAACTTCACTGAGGTCCAGAATAAATACGACACTCATTATGCTATCGATGAACAGCACAGTCAATTAGTCTGATTTTCACAAAGCCTGCTCTGGTACGCTTCACTGCCAGCGGCTTGGACAATTTATGCAGTTTACCACCTCTAGGATATACAAAGTAAGCTCCTGCGTTGGGATTTATGCTAATAATTTAGGTACTAATCAACGATGTACATTATTAATGACTATGCAAAACATGGCCAGATGCAGCCTACATATCCTTTACCTCCAAATGCTGCCATGTATAATGCTTGTCACCAAACAACTGATTACTGACAATTTGCAAATTTTGGCCCATCTAATCTGTGCCAGTCTGCACATTTTAACTTTCAACTTGCTGTGAAACGTGTACATAATCAAGAGAGATGGGATGCCTCAGACAGGACGAGGACGTATAGGTGTTGTCAGCTAAATTCACAAACATACCTGCCTGGGGTGCCCCGCTACACAGCTCTGACTTCCCTTGGCTCTTTGAGAGGCCATTAGGCCACAGCAGCCAAGAGATTTAAAAAAAAAAGCTCTAAAAAAGAGCACACCTAGTGGTGGGCACTGCCCACCTGACATTTCCAGGCATATTTCCCCGAGTATGTGGTGCAGCACAGGCAGTCAGCTGGCGAGTTGTGACAGCTGGGGACTGCCTGCACAGCACAACCCACCGCGCATGCTGGGCACCTTTACTCAGTCGGGTTGGGAAACTTTATTCAATTGGTGTATTTGGGCCATGTATCAGTGAGGTGCATCTTTTTACTTTTTAAACACTTGATTGAACTGGGGATTCCCAACGCTCCCTCAGGCGTTCCCTGAGTAACAAACGGTTCTGAGAGGGAGGAGCAACGGCTGCGCTCCCCATCCCGCTTTTTTAGGGCGGGCAGGAATAGCCTGAGCTTTGTTTTTTAAACTTTACAGATGTTATAGTTTTAACACTGCGCCAGTATCGCTGGAAGGAGCCGCACGAGGGGCACCAACCCCCTCAGGCTGCCTTCCCCCCCCCCCACTCCCCCCCCCGGCCGGCTCCATGCCCGGCGGCGCCGGAAGGGATTAGTCGCCCTTCCGCCGCGGGGTCACGTGACGTCCCGTCGGCCCCGCAAGATGGCGGCGCCCATGTTGCTGCCCGAGTCCCCCCTGGGGAAGCTGAGGTGAGGCCGGGCCGCGCCCCCCCCCCGCCCCCGCCGCCGAGGGAGGGAGCCCCGGGGGGAGCTCGGGAGGGGTCCGCGGCTCGCTCCTCGTCCCGGCCGAGGGCCCGGCGGTGCCTCCGTGCGGCGGGCCCGGCGCTGAGGCCGCCTCGCGGCCGGGCCCGGGAGTGGCGCAGCTCCCTGCCGCCATGGCCGCCCCGCCAAGGGGGCCCTGAGGGCCGGGGGGGGTCGGGGAGGTGCGGGGGAGGCCCTGAGGGGGCTGCGGGGCCGCTGCGCTGCGCAGGGGTTGGGAGCCGGGCTGAGGGGAGCTGGGCGCGGGGCGGGGGGGGGGCTGCGGGCGGCGCCCGGCGCACGCTGAGGGGGTGAGGGGGGTCCCAGGGCGTTGGTGGTGCAGGGGGGGAAGCCAAAAAATGGTCCTGCGGCGAGGTTTGGGTCTGTGAGGGAAGGAGCTCGGCTTGCTGCGGCTCGTCGCGGTGCTATGAGTGGCACGCAGCACTCGTACATAGCCACGAGCTTAGCTGGAGATGCAGGTGAGTTTTGGGGCTCTCTGAGTTAACGCCTCTGGAATGCTGTGAAATGGCAGGCGCTGAGATGGCAGGGTCTGGATCTGCTGTCGCTACTCGGAGTGGCAGGATGGGGAGCGTTGGGGATCCTCCCTCTGGTTCTTCTGTTATGAATTGGCCAGAAACAGTGGAGCCAGAAGGAAAAATGAAAAAGAAAGGCTTGGTGTGGAAAGATCATTAGATACTTGGAGGATTTCAACCGTAATGAAAACAAGATGCTGTTTCCAAACAGACTTGTAGAGCTATCAGACGAGCTTTTATGCAAAACACGAGTGTGGCCAAGATTCAGTGGTGGAAAAATGGACCTGAGAATTATTTGTCACAACTGTTACATGTCCTTTTCATATCCATGCATTAAAACCGCTGTCTGTGGAGGGTATCTCGGTAGAAGGGTAGAAACTTAAAATTTCATACCGTGTCAAAAGAGAGAAAGATTAAAATATTCTGAAAGGGGTATCACAACTTCAGGGCAGGATACACCCAATTTCTTCTCCCAGATCTTACCTAGCAACCGAAGTTGAGGCTCATGGGGAGATTTCATGAAGCTGGTGATAACACTAAGCCCTGCAGAGCTCAAGAAGGATGAGACTCTCTGTGTTGGTTCCCAGCGAGGTCGTTACTGCTGGCAATGTGCAGTTCTAATGGCATAGTTGCAGATTTTATTACCGTGCCAGATATTCCTGTGGAGTTACTGTTTCATATGAATATTAGTTAATTTTGCAGTTGTGAGATTTTATGCTGCTGATGTAATTGAATGTATGTATGACAGTAAAACTTAATCGTTTGGGTATAGTAATATAAAAAAATTCTCATCTTCAGCCATCAAAAATACAGAGCTATTCTGAAAAAAGAAAAGCGGAAAAAAAAGCGGCAGGCACTGGCCAAACTGAGAGACTCTGGTAAGTGTGAAGAGTTTCATATTTTGTGTATTTTCATTGACTGTGACATCTGATTATTTAGATGCGTTGTTTTGCGTCTTTTCTCAGAAGCTACAGAAAAAGATGAATCGGTGTCTGAGGAGGAAGAGGAGGAACTGGAAGAAGAGGAAGAAGAAGAAGAGGAGAAAAAGCTCGAGGCAGAAAGGTGAAACAGCTAGAAACTAGCATATGCTTAGTAGAAAGGTTTTTAGCCAATTACATTTTGAAAATTTGAAAAGTCTCAATATATTTTATGAAATAGAATCCTTAATCTGTGCTTTATGCTACACGGGATTTTTCTAATGCATGAATGACTTTCATGGCATTTTCTATTTCAAAGAGTATTAGATAAACCATAGTTAATACTGAACTAATAAATTCGAATTACATGCATGACAATTGCAGGAAGTCAGTAAAATTTGTCTAAGTGATATCTGGTTTCATTGGTAGACAAAAACTACATGAGCAGTGGTTGCTGAGAGAAGAAAAGGCCCAAGAAGAGTTCAAGCTTAAGAAAGAAAAAGAAGAGGCTGCAAGAAAACGTCAAGAAGAAGAAGAGGTGATGTATAAACTGAGTGTTATATTTGTGCCTGGTAATAAGGAAAACTTCTAAAAGTGTTTAATATCTTCTACTGTTCCATAGTGTACACAGTTTTGTTGATGTTGCTAAGTCTGAAAGTGTAAGCTCTTATAGTTTCTTTCATTCTAGATAGCAAAATTAAAAAGACACAAAAATACTCTTTAAATTGGTTTTTGTTCAGAGATTTAGTGGTTTATGACTGAATGAGAACTTTATGGTCAAGGAGCTACAATACAATGTGATAGTTTCGAATTTGACTGTAGTGATTATAAAATATTTACTTGTTTCCTTAAATAACTTTTTAAAATCTCTTTTATCGTAAAGAGAAAGATCAAAGAAGAATGGGAAGAGCAGCAAAGAAAAGAGAGAGAAGTCGCACAGCAGAAGCAGCAGGAGAAGAGAGAAAGAGAGGTGATTCCTGGCAGTGGGAGGATAAACGTGTTACATATCCTCTCGCATTATCTGATGCACGAGTCTATGCATGTTGAAGGTGGATTTTATTCTAATTGCAAGTGTATAAATGTGTTAGTTACTTCTCTCAGTCCTAAGTTGCTGAAATTATTCTTCATTGTTAAAGAGGAGCTAGCAACTCTGTTTACCCGGGGGGAATAACTAATTCTAAATCATCGGGTCATGTTTGTAATATGTACTTTTGTACATCAGTTAAACGTGAAGGTGCACAGTGAATGCAGTTTCTGGTATGTGCCCTTCTTTACATCTTTACGTAAAAAGTGATCCTTATTTAATGTCCCAGTTGAACACAATCAGTATGGAAGAAAATTCCTAATGAGGACATGGAATTACATTGCTGCTGTTCCTTAACAGAGTTCTTACTCAAAAGATACATTACAGCTCTTCTTTACCTGACTCATCCAACAGGACGTATCTTTTTTTCCAGAGTTCCCTGAGTGGAGGAAAAAAGTTATAAATGGCTATTTCCAGTATAACACTTAATTTATAACACTAAGTGTACATTCTTCTTAAGTTTTAGGAGTCGAATAAACTGGATGTAAGATGCCTGTATGGAAATCCAAAGGGAGGACTGGCCTATCACCAGTAAAGGGTGATTGCAGCTTCCCAGGACCCGTCACAAATCAGCTTCTCCGCATTAGCAAAAGGTTCTTCTAGTTTAGTACAACTCCTGGGAGGTGCCTTGATACCGTGTCTGGTAGCCGCACTAGGAGAGGAGACATGAGCACGTGGTATTGTCTCCTGCACTTAATTGTTGCACTTAATGTCACGAGTTACATAACACTTCCACGATGAATGAAAAAGAACAGCAGTTGTGTTTCCTGCCAGTCTTCCTCTTGTGCTATGTATCTGTGCCTTTCCAGAGTAGGGAGAGAAAACGTTGGTCTCACCCCTGTTGAAGGCTGAGGTAGAGTTCCCAGAACTATGCCGTGGTTAACAGCAGAATTTTGTTCCTTCCCGTTCTTGGGAAGGGGTTTGTGCGGTGTCTGGGTTTGCCCAAGCTTCCAGCGGACTAATTTTGTCCCCTGCACTAAATGGAAGCTGCTTTCTGTTTTTTGTTTTGTTTGTTTTTCTGGATTACTAATTTACTGGTCTAGTGAGCTAAATTGGCTCATAGAGGGCATTGACATGCGCTCAGAGGGATGCTGTGAGTGCTCAGCTGGGAGTGGAGCCACCCATTTCAGCAACAGAAAGTTAGTAAATTGATTTGGCCTGTCTCTTCGAACTGCAGTTTATTCAAATTCTGTCTCACTGAATGAAAAAAAAGGTTTATTTTTTTACCCCCTTAAGATGGGGAAATAGTTATTTTGGGTTTTTGTCTTTTTTTCCTCACATTGATTTTTTTTTTTTTTTTGACTTGCTCCTCCTCTTTTTAGATCTAATTAATTCACTTCCAAATCAGAACAACGATAATGTGTTTTCTTGTATTGGCTATCTTTAAATGTCTTTATTCTTGAAATTTCCTAGAATAATTTGAGAGAACTAATTTCCAGCTAGTCTTGGAGTGTGTCTATTGCTTTGCTCATCCAACTTAGAGGAGGGAAGGGAAAGAATATCCTCATTGTTTTTGCTTTGTTTGAAAGAGTAGATGCAGCAAAGCTTACCAGGTTTCTGATATTAAGATTTCTTAGCAGTTATAAACTTGGGTTTAACAGAGGCTTACTAAGCTACATGTTTTTCTGTGGTACACAGGATGTTCCAAGTCAAAAAGTTTAGCACAACTAAATGATTACAAGTATAACTGTGACAAGATTGAGTACTAGACCAAGAGATGCATTTAACTATTGAGTAGTTCAATGATAGTTTCAAAAAAGAAAATGAAATTTTTGAAGTTGTCTAGCATTTAGGTTAGAAAATTGTCCACATGCAACTCTAGTCTGATGTATCCTTTAACAGCTTTGTACCATGTGAAATGCTACAAAGCAAAGTAAAACGTCTGCTTTTAAAGCAAACCCCACGAAACTTTCATCATACATAATCATTGAGTATTGTAAATTAGGTTCTTAACTAAAGAAACCAGATGTTTTGTGTGTCCTTGGGATTTTCACTAGTCCTGTGTTTGCACCATTTATAGGCAGCTGTGCAGAAGATGCTGGATCAAGCCGAAAGCCAGGTACGCTCAGAGTCTTTTTGAAAAAAGAACTGAAAAATAATTTAATTGCCATCCGGTGTTTGCCTCGTAGCGTGCTGTCCATCTGCTCTCAAGAACCTAATGGCCTGAATAAATTGAATATCTAGTGGTTTGCGTGAGCAGTAAACAATTATTTACTGGGTGGAACATAATTAAGTGTATTTCTGGCCGGTTGATGGCAGTGCATTTGTGCATGCTCATTGCTGTTTAGAAGGTCTGAGTCAAAAATGAATCTGAAAATACTGCTGTGTGCTGTGTTTAAAACAAAACAACAAAACGCCCAACCCACAAACCTAGGAACAGTGGATTTTTGAAGCTTAGAGAAAATGAATTAGTTTTTTCCAGTTTCCTTAGAGAACAACCTGATACAGTTAAATTTGTGAATACTCATACTCTGCATAAGTCCGAAAATTAAATTTTAACCCAGTTACCTGTTGAGGGTTGTTTGCTATTAGCTACATTCAATTCTGAATTGCATTTAAAGAGTTTTCTTAGGCAAGGAATCTAAACCTTTATTTTGCAATATGGGTAGAAAAATGCTCGGAGCTATTACCCGACTGGTGCTGAAGATGGATTAGCAGCCACTTCTGCGAGGGCAGAGGCAGAAATATTGCATGTTGGTCTTTATGTGGTATCAGTGCAGGGTTCAGTTACTTCAGCAGCATGAACAGTGATAGTGCTGTTTTGTTGAGGGGAAATTATGGCTGAGAGTCATGAGCAGAGCTGGTGGCAGAGTCAAATGCTGCTCATAAATAAACAGTTTTCAATTAATTTAAATGGAGAACTTAGGCTAGTTAGCTTTACAGATCTTTTGGCTAAGGAAAATTACCTTCTTAAAAACTGTTTTGTTCACGGTCAAGCTTGCAACTTGATAATCCCAATTTGAATTTTAGAAATCTTAATGTGATGGCCTGAGTTGAGCAGTATGAATGTTTTTCATTCCAGTGCTAACTGTGAATTTAATTGCTTTTTAATTATGGCCTTTGGCAGGTTACTTTTATTTAGCCTTTCCTAACAGCATAAAAAGTGATAATATTACTGAGCCTTAAGGTTTTGCAAGGACAGATAAGTTAATAGTCCTAGACTTTTACCTGCCAGGTGTAAAAAGTGCTGCTTAGTGTGTGCTGGCGTGAAGTACCTAACTGGTTTAGCTGAATGAAAATAAACTGTCCCAATATTTGTAATTCTTGTGGATGACAAATGAAATTGGTGTTTCAGGAGCAAATATCACAGCTCATTTATTTATTTATTTTTACTTCAGCAAAAGAAAACACACATTTTTGGTTATATTTTATTGTTAATATGTAATTATGAATATGGACTTGTTCGTAAAACTGCACAATTATCAAGAAAAGGGGCTTCCATCACCAAAGACCCAAGGCACTGGGTAGCTTTTGGTTTGTTTTTTTGTTTAAAAAAATAAAAGCTTAAATAGGTTCAAGCTTGGCTCATAATGCAGTGCTCATAATTGCCTGTGAATTTAATTGGTAGCTTCATTTTGATACTAAATCTTTCTTCTTTTTTATTTTTTTTTAACTTAAATGTATTTTAATGTTTGTTTTCTTTTTCCACAGCTGGAGAATGGTGTGTCCTGGCATAACCCAGAGCCCCCAGAGAACATAGGAACAGAGAAGGACAGAGCAAATTGCCCATTCTATATCAAAACAGGTTCCTGCCGATTCGGAGACAGGTAATCAATTGAATATTTACCAGCAGGAATGTTTTGGAGGGGTGAGAGGCAAGCAACTTCATTAGTTTATGTGCAAACTGAAGAAATCTTGCTTTATGAATTACTTTTATTTATTTGGATGGGATACTGTTATTCATGATGGATTTAGACATTTAGAGCAAAACTGACTATCTGGAACTGAAGCATTTATTGTTAAGGCGTATTATTGGTGGTACATTCTGGTTCCACTGGCCAGGCTGCCTTTACCTTAGAACTGGCAGATGCACAGGTTCATTCAGACAGAGTACGTTTGATTTCTGCTATTAGCACAGGCCTCACATGTCAGCTGTTGATTTTTATCTTGATTAGTTTGCATACGCTGCATCTTTTTAAAAAAATGTATAACTAGGAGGCTGTCAACTAACCTGATTTCCTTTTATGATAAGATCATCCGTATGGTGGACCAAGGGAAACCAGCTGATGTGATTTTTTTGGACTTCAGCAAGGCTTTTGACACGGTTTCCCATAGGATCCTACTGGACAAAATGTCCACCATACAGCTAAATAAAAACATCATACGATGGGTGAGCAATTGGCTAACGGGCAGGGCCCAAAGGGTTATGGTGAATGGGGCTGCGTCAGGCTGGCGGGCGGTCACTAGTGGGGTCCCTCAAGGCTCCATTTTAGGGCCGGTACTTTTCAATATTTTTATAAACGATCTGGATGTAGGAATAGAAGGTATTTTGAGCAAGTTTGCCAATGACACCAAACTTGGAGGAGTTGTGGACTCGAATGAGGGTGGAAAGGCCTTGCAGAGGGATTTGGATAGGTTGGAGAGCTGGGCGATCGCCAACCGCATGAAGTTCAATAAGAGCAAGTGCCGGGTCCTGCACCTGGGACGGGGAAACCCTGGCTGCACGTACAGACTGGGCGATGAGACGCTGGAGAGCAGCCTAGAAGAGAGGGATCTGGGGGTCGTGGTAGACAGCAAGTTGAATATGAGCCAGCAGTGTGCCCTGGCAGCCAGGAGGGCCAACCGTGTCCTGGGGTGCATCAAGCACGGCATCGCTAGTAGGTCGAGGGAGGTGATTGTCCCGCTCTACTCTGTGCTGGTGCGGCCTCACCTTGAGTACTGTGTGCAGTTCTGGGCACCACAGTATAAAAAGGACATGAAACTGTTGGAGAGTGTCCAGAGGAGGGCTACGAAGATGGTGAAAGGCCTGGAGGGGAAGACGTACGAGGAACGGCTGAGGGCACTGGGCCTGTTCAGCCTGGAGAAGAGAAGGCTGAGGGGAGACCTCATCGCAGTCTACAACTTCCTCGTAAGGGGGTGTCGAGAGGCAGGAGACCTTTTCTCCATTAACATCAGCAACAGGACCCGCGGGAACGGGGTTAAGCTGAGGCAGGGGAGGTTTAGGCTTGACATCAGGAGGGGGTTCTTCACAGAGAGAGTGGTTGCACACTGGAACAGGCTCCCCAGGGAAGTGGTCACTGCACCGAGCCTGACTGAATTTAAGAAGAGATTGGACTGTGCACTTAGTCACATGGTCTGAACTTTTGGGTAGACCTGTGCGGTGTCAAGAGTTGGACTTGATCCTTAAGGGTCCCTTCCAACTCAGGATATTCTATGATTCTATGATTCTAACTAAAGCAAAACTGTGGTACATCTGCACAGTTGGGAAAGATGTTGTAGTAGCTTCTGGAATTCTATTTGTTTACTGTTAAACGTGTGATACACTCGTTCTTGGTTCTTGTATACTGCTGTGGGTACCCTGTCTGGGAAAGGAAATACAGTAAAAGGTGAGAACAGAGGAAGGACAACAAGATAATGAGAGATGAGGAGCAGCTTCTGTAGGAGGACTGGCTAATTGGTCTAGGCTCTTCACTTTCAATGAGTTGATGGAAGAGGGCTTTGGTAGATGAAGTCATGAGCAGGATGGGAAGGATTATTTGGTTTTAGCATGAAACAGCTTAATTAGGTGTCCCCAAGCATTTAACACCTTAAAACAACAAAAAAACACCTTCCCCATAGGAAACAAATTGTCCTCTGGCAACAAATTTCACATTGAGGAAGTCAAGAGCATAAATGGGTCCAGGATTACAGGTTCATTAGTGACCATTGAAATTGGTGTCCCAAATTAAGAGTCTGGGTAGAAAATCCCTTAATTTCTGTGCATGTTAAGGAGGAAATATAGATCAGCAGGGAAAAACTGATACTTTTAAATTTTTTTTTTCTATTACACGAATCTTCAGCATAAGCGAGTAAGGCTGTTAACTAACTGTTGTGGTTTGCCCCGGCTGGCAGCTAGACACCACACAGCTGTTTGCTCAACCTCCCCCCTCCCTCTCTGGGATGGGGGAGAGAAATGGGAAAGTGAAGCCTGTGAGTTGAGATAAAGACTGTTTATTAAGACAGGAAAATAATAATAACAATAATAATAATAACAACAGTGATGATAATAGTACTGCTACTACTAATGTGTACAAACAAGTGATGCACAATGCAATTGCTCACCACCTGCTGACCAATGCCCAGCCTAACCCCGAGCAGTCCGGCCCTCCTCCCCCCAGCTAGCCACCCCATCTATTGTTTAGCATGACACCAGATGGTATGGAATACCCCTTTGGCTAGTTTGGGTCACCTGTCCTGGGTCTGTCCCCTCCCAGCTCCTGCTGCACCCCCAGCCTGCCTGTTGGCAGGACAGAGGGAGAAGCTGAGACGTCCTTGGCTTGGTGTAAGCACTGCTCTGCAGCAATTAAAACATCGGGGTGTTATCAGCACTCTTCTCATCCTAAGCCAAAACATAGCACCCTACCAGCTACTAGGAAGAAAATTAACTCTGTCCTAACTGAAACCAGGACACTAAATTGTATCACTGAAATGTGTGTGATCCATGTACTGTAGTTTCCTTCCTCCTAAAAGTAATTTGTTTTGGAGTGGTGCATAGTGTGTACAATTATGTGATTACCAAACTCTATGGAAGTTTCAAGCCCATAAGCCCTTATATCTTTTTCTATTCTGAAATATGTGATGAATGCCTAAATAAAACCTTGGGCATTTATTTCACCGCAAACAGCATTATTGCTACTGAAATTTTCATGCTTAGTTCTTTGTAATCTTTGTAGTATTTCTGTTTTGGAGGTACTAAATGGAGGTAACCTCCTTGGGTTAATCATGAATTGGCCATAAATCAGCTTTGCTGCAAACTATGCATAAACTTTGTAACTACGTACCGGGAAACATGGTATGCTGCCCTTCTCTCACCTGTAGTTGTTGATTTCAGCTTCCTCTCCTTCATCTTCCTTCTTTGACTTCACATAACATACTTCTGTCATATTCTGGTCATTTCATCCCCTGCTGCTAGCCATAAGTAGAAGGACTGAGGTACAGGCAGGATAAGGAATGAACGAATAGGGTAGAAGCTGAAATGAGCCACAGTGGTGAAAAATTGGGAGCTCATATTATCAATACAATAATGACTGACTTGTCAAAGCTCACTATGCCTTGAAGAAGGCAAAACTTTTTCAGTCGATCTTTATTGATCATAAAATCATCAAGGTTGGAAAAGATCTCCAAAATCATCTGGTCCAACCATTACCTTACTACCAAATAATCACAATAATTTAAATACTAATTAATTTCTAGCAATACTAAATTCTGGGTCATTTGTTTTCCTTGGGGTAGCTTTTGTTCTGTCACGTGCTATCTATGTACAGGCAATGCTGGTTGGGTATAATATTTTGTGTTCCATAATACAAACAGCTGTGAAATGAGGTCACTTTTCAAATCAAAAAAGATCAAATTCATTGTCTCATTTGTTTGTGTTTTTTTTTTTTGTTTGTTTGTTTGTTTTTCTTTTCTTTGGTTGGTTTCTAAGTTGTAAATCAGAACGTGTGAGTCAATTTATAGCTGGCAAGATGCAGGAAGAAACTTTCTGTCTTGAGTCTAGGTTGTAATTGCTGGTTTTAGACCTGACCTCCCCCAGTTTGTCTGTGCTTTGCCATTGCTAGATAAGAGAGCAGACTAGTCTGACTGTTGCTCTGATCATGTCATGAAAAGCAGAAATGTGTTGGAGAGCGTATGACCCAGTTACTCTGTGAAGTGTTTGAAACAGATCATAAAGCACAGTGAAATAAACACAGGGGCTAGCATCCGTGCTCTTACCAAATCTAAAGGTCTGTGGGGGAGAGCTGTGTTGCACAAGGGAAGTAGCCTGAAGATGATAGACAGTGTGGGAGATCTTAATACTTTTATGGCTGCCCAGAAGATGCAGATTAAGCTATGACTTGTTTATAATGAGCATTTTTTTAGATGGAAAAAAAAACAATAGGGTATTCATCCAACTACAGGGCTAGACATGCTCTCTTTTCCTCAGCCCTGTCCAATCTCACAAACTCCCCTCTTCCCTGTGTGCAGAGAACGCTACCAGTAAAAATTATTTCAGTTCTTTCAGCAAAAAGAAGAACAGGGACTTTTTTTTAAAAAAAAAAAAAAAAAATTGTGAAAGACTGTTAGTATTTCTGTAAAGCCATTGAGAAATGGGGAATGCGTTTAAGCCTTGCAACTTCGGCTTTTAATATGTTAAGGGTATCTATGTCTTCTGCAGATGTTTTTCTTAATGTAAGAATATATTTATGATTGACAAAAAGCATTAAGGTTATTTGCAAACTCACTTCCAATCTTTACCATTTTAATTATTAAGTAACTTGATTTTCCACTAGCGGGTTTTCTTTTGTAGTAACTCTCTCAAAATGGCAGCTGTTCGAAGCTTCAACAGGTCCGTCTTCACCAAAAGTGCAAATCTTCTTCTTCTTTGTAACTATCCAGGTGTTCTCGCAAGCATAACTATCCAACGTCTAGTAAGACACTACTTGTCCGAGGGATGTTCATCACTTTCGGCATGGAGCAGTGCCGGCGGGACGACTACGACACCGATGCGAGTCTCGAGTACAGTGACGAGGAAACCTACCAGCAGTTCCTCGAGTTCTATGAGGACGTGCTCCCGGAGTTTCAGAATGTGGGGAAGGTTGTTCAATTCAAGGTACACGTAGGAGTCTAATAGCTTGTCTCTTTTTTTTCAATTCTTAACTTATACCGCATCAGCTGTGTTTTACTAGCCTTTAGAGAATTCTGTGCAGTATGCTCTAGCTAAATCCCATATCCTTGAGAGAGCTGTCTGGTGTCTGCTGCAAACTATGCATCTCTCTTGGCACCTGTAAACTTCCAACTGCTTCTACAGAGCATTCTGGGTGAATCTTCTCTGCTAGTCTCCTGAACTGTCATAAAAGCGGGTGCTTTTATATTGCCAGGTGTTGATACAGAACAACAGTCCACTTAACTTCACAGTCCCTTCTCTGCTTAGCCTGTGATAAGCCCCAGAGGGCCCATGGATTAAAACTGCTAGGCAATATTAAAGGTATCTGGGCTAGTGCATTTGTGCCACTTAAAGCTGCACCAAAGGAATGATACTGTGGAGATACAAAAAGTATTTGGACTACACACCCAAATACTGTCATTTTAGAACTGGTTAGATAAAATAAACTCAAGTGGCAATGAACCGAAAAGGTATGAGATATTTCACTAGCAGGAATTAATTTGAAATGGCTGTATTACAAAGAAGTATGTCATGTGAATGGTGTTGAGATTTGTCATTCAGCCTTAGTTTCTGCATCTGGCTTCCTGAATTTTTTTTCCTATTTATATTATTTCTCAGGGGGAAAAATGAGGGTCCTGTAAATGGAGACCTTGGAGATGAATGATGCATTTTGACAGTCCCTTGTTGTCATAAAACGTGCAGCTTGGATGGTGAAATCTCCTTGTAACAAAACCTATTGCAGCATCCCTTTCTGCTTGCCATTCCTAAGTGTTTTTCTGTAGTCACCAGGAGGCATGCTGTGCCTTTTCTCTTTTTGTTTCTCTGTAGTGACAGCTGCCTTAGAACAGAGATTGTATTAGCATTTCAAGCAGGAGGAAAGTTTAAAAAAAATAAATATGAATTTTCAATAGCTGTATAATGAGGTTGTAAGAAAGAAACCTTTACTTGTTTGGATGAGTATCCCACCTTATTTTGACTCAAGGGATATTAGCCAGCAATGTTCCATTGTAGAAGATGGGACGTAGATTCCCACTGGAGCATGTGTTGAAACGCTGTCTTACCTTCAAACTCGGATCCTTAAGGTAGTATCTTTGTTGTGTTTTGTGCAACTATCTTCTAAAGTTGCACGTACTTGGATCCCTGTGGCTAAAAATGGGGTAAGAGCTTCTAGTGTGGGGTTTCATAGCTTCTGAAGTAATTGTGCGACTGTATTTTGATTTTCAAAGGCGGTTTCATTTTATTAGAGATACTTTGAAATTATGTGTTGGCAGCTGGAATCTCAACCATGGTTGAGTCTCTCCTACCATTTATAATCATATTACACACATCCCTGTTTCAACTGACTTCCATTTCCAATGTGGTACAGGGTTTTATTCTTACTGTTCTTTCTGGGGAGCTACTCCTCAATCTGGCAGGTTCTGACAAAATGCCCTTCTTTTCTTTTCCCACCCAAACATGTTGAAGGTGAGGTTGTTCTTACATTGATGTTGCTATTTATCTGAAATACTGTGACTATTTACTCTAATATTTAATTACATAACTGTTCCTTGTTGCCTCTGAAGCCCTTGCCTAATCTAGAGGCGTATTCTCTGAGGGTCCAGTGATGAAAGAAGCTGCTTGCCTCACTTGGTGTGGGTATTGGAAGAGGCCTGGGGGCAGGAGGGGCTGGGCTCACAGTTCTGCTCTGGAGAACCAAGTCTTAACTGGGTTGGGCCTGTCCATCTCAGCATCCGTAGCAACTAGTAACGAGGTTTTTGGAAGTTAAATTGTGCATTTTTGTGAGTTCTGGATAGACTTCGAATGCTAGATTGTAGCGAAAAATAGCATATCAGAACTGTTCAGTGAAAGCTAGTGACTTCAGCTTTCCTAACATCTCACAGGGATGCTCTGAAGGTAAATTGTTCTAAACATTCTTTTTCCATAACGAATCCCACGTTTCCTCATGGGGATACTACTGAACGTTTTCAGAGCAGGACTTGGCAGTCATGTAGTAGGGTTTGCCCAGACTTAAGTGCAAGACAATGGAGTACAAGCTGCCTCCTGGACTAACTGAAGCAGAGGACCTAGTGTTAATCAAAGCAAAATGCTGGAAACATACAGACATAAACCAGATGGCCTTTGTTGTCTGAACATTGTATTTGACTAAGAGTATGTTTTGAAGAAAATAATACACAAGTTGATATTGATGTGCTGTCATAAATCAGAATGGCTGCCACCTTCACGTGTGTAACTTGCTGTACATCAGCCTTCAGTTGTCCTAACTTAATGTTTTGATCTCCTTAGGTCAGTTGCAACTATGAGCCTCACCTGCGAGGAAATGTGTATGTCCAGTACCAGTCGTAAGTATTCACAATCTTACCAAGTTTTAGAACTAAACTCCAAAGCCCAGTAATGAAAACTGTATAATCCAAATGATTTGTTCTCATACTGCAATGGGAGCCTGAAATTGGTAAGTGACATCCTAAATGCTTGTACAGTGATAATGTTACACGTTTGTTTGTTTCTTTCTTTTTAAAGGGAGAAGGACTGCCAGGCAGCTCTTGCTCTATTCAGTGGTCGATGGTACGCAGGCCGGCAGCTTCATTGTGAATTCTGTCCTGTGACAAGATGGAAGACCGCCATTTGTGGTGAGTTACGTAAATGCTCATAAAAGAGAATGTGCGTTAATGAAAGAGTTAATGTAGACGTGAAAAAGAGGGAGTTAATCTGTCACTTTGATTCAGCCAGTGCTTCAGATTGAGTTCACTTCTATTTGGAAGACAAATATGCTTGCTTGCTTGTGTAGCTCTAGGAAGGAAAGGGAATATTTGTCCTCTGTCACTTAAGTGTTTGAATCATCCTAGTGGATTTGCTTGGACTGGAAGAGAAAACATTGATTCCAGCTTTAGAAATAATAACAATACTAAGGCGGAAGTACAGAAAATACAAATTTATCTCTTTCAAAAGCAACAGTAGTTTCTCAAGCATCAACAGTTCTTAGCAGTAACTTACATTTGACTTCTCTGTATTTACATTCTTAGAAAATTTAGACTGCTAAAATTATTTATGAAAATAGTTTTAAGCTAAAGCTGTAATAGCCATCTTAAATACATGTTAGAAGGTTAATTCCAAGAAAAGTACATATTGTAAAAATAATCTTGGGTGAATTAAATTGGTAGGTGTTCAGATAGATGTTTTTCTGTTGGAGGAGACAAAATTAAGTTCAGAAAGCTTCATTTCCAGTAGGTGCATAATGAAGGTTTAACAGGTCTGGTTCATTTAAAAAAAAAAAAAAAAAAAAGCAAACCCTCATCTGTTGCAGGCTTATTTGAAAGGCAGAAGTGTCCAAGAGGGAAACACTGCAACTTTCTTCATGTATTCAAAAATCCAAACAATGAGTTCTGGGAGGCCAATAGAGACATACGTATTTCTCCAGAACGGACTAATCAGTTGTCTAAAAACTCTGAGAGGAGAAACAGATCAAGCCATCGTGATGACTATTACAGCCGGTCAAGGAGAAGGGGCAGCCCAAGCCCAGATCATTCTTACCGCAGAAACGGAGAATCTGAGAGAAAAAAGAATCGCCGCAAAAACAAGAGGAGGCGCCGGTCTGGCAGGTCAAGGAGTCGAGAAAGGAGGAGGTCTCGAAGCAGAGGGAGGAAGAGGAGAGGACGCAGCCGCAGCAGAAGTTACAGTCGAACACGTAGTCGGAGCAGAAGTCGGAGCTCTTCTCGATCCAGGAGTAGGGGTAAAAAGAGATCAAGCAGCAGAGGAAAAAGTAGTGAAACTCCCAAAACAAAGTGAGAATTAATCTTAGAAGTTGCTAATTGATCAAATGTTGATCAAATGTAGAGCTGAAAAATATCTTTCCAATAGGGCACCAGATACGTTTGAGTTTCAAATAAAGTGTTCTTGCACATTAAAATGTTTCTTCCTAATAAAGGAACCTAGTTTACTGTGTGCTAAGCTTCAGAAAATTAAAAGTTTAAGTCCTATATGAGGTGTAAATGTCAAGTACTCTAGCTACTCTGTCCCTCTGAACTACTGCAACATCTGGATGCATCCTGAATACAAAATAGAAAGAGAAGTAAAGCTTTTTTGGTATATGCTTATTTCTGTGTAATGTGTGTGTTAAGTGTTTCCTGTCCCTGTAAGGAGTTAGTACAGAACAGCTAGTGTGCTGTGAACTCACACAGCAGCACGCTGCCAGTTGAAGTCTGTGTAAAAGACAGCCATTTATGTTTACCGTATGGTTATGGGCTATCCTGTTCTAGACAAAGTAATATAATCATGTTATGCATTGGAGAAAAGGGATCTAAAAGGCTTCACTGTTTGCTTGTACAATACTTGCCCAGTAGGAGCTTTGTGGTCATAAGTGTTGGATTTTTCTCTCTCCTGTGACTGAGCTGCTGAGCTAATTGCCTGTAGGGATTGCAGTAGACAAAAACCAAGTAGGAATTACACAGGAAAACAATCAATTTATTCAGTACCTTAATCCCCAAGTAAGTGTGGAGACCAATCACTTGTAATCCCTGGAGTGAAGACAGAAAATACTTTGCATACTTCTTGGTTGCATACCATTTGTAGTTGAAAACAACCTGCCTAACCTCTTATGGAGTGGGAGGAAAAGCGTAAATCTGGTAACTAAAGATGGGAATGTCATTGTAAAGGCTCAAGATGTTGCAGAGTGGCTAAACAAACTCAGTATTATTTTATACCTGAAGTAATATTTTAGGTTTTTTTGTGAGAGGATTTGATATCAAGCCTTTTTTGGGGGCTTATATTACAGTTTAAGGCACTCTACTGCCTAGCTTCCCTACAGTCAAGGTGGAGAGGGGTGCTTAAAAATGAGGTTATCGGGACAAAGCTTTTTATAACTGACAGCTGTGTTAGCGGAGTACCTGCAATTAGCGAAGTTCTTACAGCTGTTTCTTCAGTTTTAAATGAAAGATTTGTGCTGTTAAATTGACTGTACTTCACCCTGTTTACCTTTAGGTTTTTAACTTGGGCACTTCGATGTCTGTTTATGCTTGGAGAGAGCAGTTTGTGACCCTGAAGGTGTGGGTGCCCCAGGTGTCTGCAGAGATAGCTCTCTCTCTTCAGCCTCTCCAAAGAACTTGGGACTCCTGCCTCTAGAGTACAGTTCAGACCACTTGTTAAGTTAGAAGCCTCTGAAGTAGGCATGAAATGCTCCCAAATAGGTGTTCGTTATGACTCAACAACATAGCATCAAGTTCTTTAGCAAATCTGGACATCCAAACTCCAGTGTAGCTTTCCTCATAGCAAGAGCATTTTTTTTTCCCCAGGATAGAGTGAATGACCATTGTTCTGGATATATATATATTTTTGCTTTTCTAAATGCATACTGCACCTAGCATGCTGATTATACATTTTCCTTCTTTCATGTGTAACTGTTGTCCAATTTGGAGTAATACAACAGAAGTGCTATATATTGTTGTTCAGTTCAAACCCGACTTTCAATATATATTGTCATAACTGTAGGCAGAACTGTAGCTTAGTTAATTTGATTAAATGTTTTAGTTATTAACAGATGTAGGGACTGTAATAGCATAACTTTTGAAATAATAACTTCATTTGAAAGGCAGATTTTGATGGATAGACAGCACCGTTTTAAATTGTATTTGAGAAATTTGTGACAAGCGCTTTCTCATAATGTATCTTTCCTGACTAGATCTCACAGGCAGATTTTCCCCAGGGTTTCTATTTTTTCATAGATGGGCACTTGTGCAGAACGCAGTAAACCGGTACAGTTGAACTGGTCTTCCCCACTTGCTGGGCAGCATCATCAGCAGGCCAGTAAGATCATTTCACTGGTGCTGCCTTGCGTCTCACAGCCCACATTCTGGTGAGCTAGCCTGCTGGTGAAGGCTCTTGGGTGGAAAAGTTGATTTGTGCCACCTGCAGCGTGTTGTACATCCCCTGCCATGCAGCGTGCCGCTTGTGCTGTTGCTGAGCGTTATCTGAGGGAAGTAAATCACTGAGCTCGACCAGAAGTGAAATGGGCAGTAGGATGCTGATTTTGTGATGATCTGTGGTGAGCAGGGTGAAATAAATGAAACGGACCTCTCTGGGACTGAGAATTCCACAGGTAATTAGGCTCCTTGTCCCCACGGTTTTGTAAAGGGAGCAGGGAAGCTGAGCTGCTGTATTTTATCTTTTTTCTAAAAAAAAAAAAAGTTCTTAATAATAATTTTAAAAAAAAACATTGCTCAGAGATGCATGTAAAACTTAAATACACTTTATTTCTGCTATCCTAATGGCTGAGGCTTCAGCTTTTTTTCTTGAGGTCTGGATCCAATGTGCTGGCTGCACCCGTGCGCTGTAGAACTGGTAGCTATAATTATCATTGTTTCACATGCAGTCTGCTTATTACACAGAAATTGAGTGCTGTAGATCTGACATTTAGTTTGCATTTGTTAGCATGAAACCTGGCATTCAACCAGTTTTCAAAATTAAGAGTTCATGTATTTCAGTAGTTTCCCTACTTCATAATCTTAAGTAGTGTCATATGCATGGTTTTGTGTTTCCTTATTAGCTGAGTGAGCTATTTATTCTGGAGACAAAGAGCCTAGAAGTTCTTAAATGTTAAGCTCCTTTTTTTTTTCCAAAGGGGAAAAGCCCCAGAAAACACAGAAGGGATTTAAATTTGCAAGGAATAGCTTGTTCTCACCATGTACTATTCTGCATAATCCACATAAAAGGACCTTATAAAGTGAATTCCTAGTGGCTAGTGAATTACTACTTTTTATTAATGACTGCTTAAGGCAGTTGCTTTTATACTTTTTTTTCTAATTTAATTGTGCAAGGATCACCAAGAGGCTTTGGATTGATTATGAAAGCAGGTATTGACACAGAGCTGCAAGAAGGTGGTTAGGGCAGCAGCGGGGCCTGCCAGCCAGCTGATGGAGTCAGGGCAGGGAGCAAATGCTGCTCCGACCCTTCTCTTGTGGAAGGAATAAATGTATAGGAGCAGGAAGCTGAATTTGGAAGTCTCAACTACTTCATGGAAACCATCCTGCTCCAGATGATTACCTGATGTGCTTTGTGGCAGAAGGGGAATACTGTCAGAGGGGTAGGAGTTACTCCTGTCAGCAGCAGTAGGATCCCTGCCTGGTGGCGGTTAGGCACCTGGGAAATAGGCTTGCCTTCTACCAGCAGCACAGCCTCATCTTCTCAGTGGTGCCTGCCTTGAGGTGATTTCCCTTTCCTTGGTGCTTGCTGTGCTTGTTGCGTAGCCAGCTCCCATCACGCAGCTCACATGTTCATGTGCTGAATGCAAGACTTGCATTTTCACAATGAGGGAACAAGTGTAGAGGACGGCCTTTCCTCTCTGGCCCTTTCCATTGGTGATGGAATGAGTGGTCAGAGGACATTCTAAGTAACTTTTCAGCTTAAAACACTTCAGGAGGACAATCCTTGATTCAGTTGCATATTAACACACGCAGTGCATCAGTAATTATCCTGATGTTTACTGGTTATATACCTGTACCAGTAGCAGCATCTTTGGGATGTGCAAAGTGACAGTTTTCAGAAGAAATGCAGGAGTCCGCTCTGAGATGCTGTTGCTTCCTGTCCTGTAACAGCACTTTAAAAATGTGAAAGTTAAAAACTTAAAAGCTCAGTTTAGTTTCTTACATCACTTGAAGAATGCAGCTGATTTTGCTTTCACTATAAGCTTGTTGTAATTAAAAAACACACACAAAACACTTATTCCACCCATCCTTGTATTCAGCTCTGATGTATCGGCTGAATACAGCATCTATCACATATTTAAAAAAAAAAAAAGCTATCTGACACACAGTTCAGAAAGCCACTAGACTGAGTAGAAAGCAAGCTGTACAAGCATAACCCATAAACACGGTAATTCAGCAGAGGCAGCCATAGCATGACCATCATCTCAGTGTTAACCCAAAAGGAACAGCAGATGTTTAAGGCCTCTTCAGCTTGAAGACTCAGTGATCACAATGAGGGCACACAGCAAACAATCCCTTGCCTAAACAATTCAGAAAGTCTACAGAACTTCTTAGCTTTTTTTTTTTTTCCCCTTCTCTAACTAAGATAGAAAATTTAAGAAACAAAATATTTCTTCCATATTAAAGAATGCCCTAAAGATGGTAAGTTTTCCCCATGCTTTTGCTGGTGACATCAGGCAGTTCAGTTGCTTCAGAAAGCTAGAAAGCAGATGCGTCAAGAGAAACTTGGTTGAGACTAGGATTTAGGACTGTGAATGCTGCATTGACATGTTTGTAATCCCATGTGAGGAACTGAACAGCGAGCTTGTATTACCTAGACCCCTCTCTCAAGCAACATGTGATTTGTTTTAATTTCAAGTGAAGTAACACTACCGCAACAATTTACCATCCCCTTTAATAAATTCCATGTTTAATGTGATAAGGCTTCCAAAAACTTGCTAATTTATTGCTTTCTGTAGAATTTAAATGGATGTAAATAACTAATCTTGGACACAGTATTCTCACACATTTTTTTAATAAAGTGCTCAAGAGCAGGTTAAGCACTGTAATAAAATTTCCCTTTTTTTTAAGCTGGCACTGAGTAGCCTTTTTTTTCCTCTGAAAAAGAAAAAAAACAAAAAACAGTACTAATTACATATAAACACAAAGCAATGGTGTAAAAATGGACATTTATTACAACTAAACCAATGTGACAGTACGACGGAGGTCAAACAATTTATTCATCACAATCACAACAAAGCTTAACCCAGCCAAGCACATACAAGTGACAGTGTAAACTTTAAAAACGCTGAATACGTAGGAAATTGCTTCAGGTTTGACTAAAGGTAATTTCACCGCTTCGATCTCACACTGAGGGGTATTCTAACACCATATTAACCTCATCTATCCCTGCACATTGTGCACAGAGAAAACGCAAACCACTGCTTTTGTGTGCCTGACGTTAACCGCGGGCTCTAGCAATGCGGTACGTTCAAATCCCAGGAATGGCTTAAGCAGACAACATTGAACACCGCGAGTTCACAGGCTCTGCTCCTGCACTGCCACTGAGGCATGCAGACCCACCCCTGCCTTCTGCTGCCACCAGCACTTGGGTCAGGGAACTCACGCCTGTCACCACTGCCCCTCTTCTGGTGGGTTACATTTAGCGCCCAGGAGAGCAGGCCCACAGCCTGGCTCTCCTGCAGCTGGGTAACTGCACATGCTAGCGCTGCACAGCTGCCTCCACCAGCCCTGCCAAAGCTCTGTTTGGGGAGAACATACATGGCACTACGTACTTAACTGACCCAGCCAAAACATGGACTTCTACAGTGAAATTGCTGGGAAGGGAAAAGAGGGAAACAAAGCCTGGCATTCTCAGGGACCATGCACACACACAGAACTTGGCTACTCCCAGGTGTGCCGATACCTTCTCAGAACTTGCAAAGCATACATGAACCGCATCTCCTCAAGTGAAACAGTTTGAATGTACAATTAAAGAGCCTGCGAGAAGTGTCAAACTATCACCTGATATCACTTTGCCCCATTTGCAGTGAGTCTCATATACAAGTCTGGCTTTAAATGTTCTCACTGCAAATTAGTTGGTTATACCACTGTACACCAGGTAGGAGTTTTATAAGGGATGTGTCCCACGTGAAACATGTAAGTCAAAAGTATTCAAACATGAAGCTGACACTGTTTTTCCTAAAGGTGCTTATACACCCATTAAAGCATAACTATAAAACACCAATAAATACAAATTAAGTTGTAGAGTTCAAAAGAAAATCATAAAAACTCCCTTCTGTAAAGCTCCCTCTTTCCATGTTCAAAAGTATCCCATTTTCATTACATACCTCTATAGTGTCAAAAAGGCTACTTTTTTGTGTGTTTATATTCAGAGCAAGCTAATACTGATTTAAAAATAGTTTCCCTGTTTGGATTTTTAAATACATGCATTCCCTTTTTACTATAGTAACTTGCACAGATTTGCTCAGATAACTACATGTAAATGCATTTTCGCTGCTAGTAAATGATCAGTTTGCAGCTTTCTTGCAAAAAGCATTACCACCTTAACAGTTTTTAACCAGTTTGATATGCAGATCCTAAGAGGATTCTTTGGTATAATGGCAAATTCAGTAGTAAACAGTTATTTCCAATCTTAATGCATCAACTGAAAGAAAGCAGAATTATCACAGCTGTTGACTAAAAACATAGATGAACGAAAGTCTTTGGTTGCATAAACACAATTTCTACAATATAACATTTCATACTTGAAGTTGTCCATGTAGTTTCCGTTCATTTAGATATGCTATGGCAATGATACATTTATTTCCTGAAGTCAAGTTTGCTTATAAAAACAGTACACTTACTGAAATCAAATGCAAATTTTCTGTAAATGCAGAGGAGACATTGAGTCAATTTAAATCTAATTCCCTTTCGTTTATCGTGTTTGGACTTCGGTTTCTTGTTCCCTTTTCAAAAGGAGAATTTATCTTGTAGGCCTGAATGAAGCAGCTTAGCAAAACAGTAATACTGACAAACAGCATCTTACACCATTAGCTAAACATTACAATGAAGGCAGTGAACATTTACAGTATGAAACACTGAGATGTCATCAGCGGAACAGAAGATTTATGTCAATCCAATTTCTTCAAGTACACTACGTGGGGTCTCTGCTTCCTATGGAGGGAAAATTTGAGACAGTGGTAAATGGATCCTGTGCTTCTACTGAACAGTACCATACATGAGAGTTAGTATGAACGATGCTTAATTAAAGAAAAGCTGGAAGACATGAAAATATAAAAGCACTGCAGTTTGCAAACATGGCATTAGCTGCACTTTTCAAAGAGCTGTTAATTAGATTGTCATGGTTCACAGGAAGAGCTGGTAGATTTTATTGCCCTTAAGCATAATAAAAAAAGCAATTCAAGTGTACCAGCAGGGAACAAATCACAACCCAGTAATAGAGATATGAACTGGGGAGGGACAGGGAAGCATCTTGCAATGGAGTCTGCCAGTTATTTTTGTGGTGAGTTGTTTCATGGGTCTCTGCTAGGCTAGAAAGAATATACAGATGAAAAGACTGAAGCTACTTAGATACGGTATCCCTCATGCTCTTCATGAAGAGCCTAGACTTTTTACACAGGTAACATGCTTAGCTTAAAAAAAATAAATCCATGTTCCTTAGTACACCTGGTGTCAATGAATTTACTGTTTTGACAGGGGAGGAGTTGCCAGGATTGGAACTGAATTATTCTACAGGAGGTAGAATGCAAAGTTTTACGTTAATTCTGTTCTTACAAAATGTTGTTTATAGTCAGAACAAGTTGTTTTATACAAAACTCCAAAGGGTTATAATCATCAGTTCCATATTCATTATTGCTATAGCATCTGAAAAAAATATTACTTTGATTAGAAACATTAAGCAGTACTTCACCATAATGATTAACAATATGATAGTAAATAAAAAGGGATACCGTATCTTTACGGAAACATAAGCATTTTTAATATCCAGAGTATGAATAAACTTACTTTAGCATCCTAAAGCAAGACATGTCATGAAGCAGGAAAAAGGCAAATAACAGTTAAAGCAGCAAACAAATGTTTTCTAAAACTGTTTTCTAAACATTTTTTTTTTTCAAAATATATATTTTTTGTAAAGTACAGAATTAAAAGCCTTAAATCTTGCAAGCAACACCAGAACTTTGTTTCTATCGACTTTGACTATGGAGCACAAAATGATCACATTTAGAATCAATTCAATTCACATGTAAGACTATTTAACACAAAAATGTATAATAAATATAAAAATATATATGAAGTTATAATATTTTATAGGCAAATTCACTTGAAAGTCAGCATTTGGAGAAGTCCACTGCTGAGCACTTTCAGATGGCTTTCAAAATCCAGAAAAAAAGCAAGTTAAAACTGGAAGCGAGATACTCAGTGAATTAAGGATGAAGTGTTTTCTCACTGATGTGATATTTAAATATTCTTAGAACTGCAGTGACCTTGATAAAGCAAGGCAGTACAGCTTAAAGACTTGTGTTTTAACATGCCCCCCCAAAAAAGAAACACTGCTTGAAAAGGAAGCTATACCCTCTCTCTCTACATATATATATATATATAAGGATATATATAAGGATATAAGTTTTTAATATAACCTGTAGCACTAAATTCCCAGATGACTTTGTTGCATTCATTTTAGAAGATATGCCTCTCCCCTATCCAATAACTTGAAGCATTTCACTCCAAAAAAAAATCCTACACTTTTAACCAACTACAGCAACAGAATTCAAGTGGAAAAAAAATATTGAGGAAAACATGAAATCGTGAAACTTCTCACAGATTTTTGGGTCTTGAAAATATTTGTAGTAGAACAATCATTCAAAGTTTTAAATTGACTCAACAGCAGTAGATGCTTACAGTTACAGTGGTGAAGCAGTGTATTTAGTAAACAACCCAGAAAAAGGTTGCTCTAACTCTGAAGACAGTGCACTGCTGCTGTCTTTAGAGCAGTTTACAATTACCATCTCCACTGCCTATTCAAAGTTGCAGATAATTTAAGTATATGCCTGCTGAAAATTAAGATTAAATTTCTTCAAAAAAAAAAATCAAGGTCATTGGCTGATAATGATTTTAAAGCAAATTATTTCAAGGACATTGGCTACTTGCCCACAGGTAGACCTCACCAGTTAAACTCAGTAAGATGTTAACATTTTAATACTACAGCAGCAGCCTTGAGGCAAACATGCCTTCTTACATGCATATCAACAATATAATCTCAACAGGAACACCTAAAAGCTAATGTGTTTTGCTAGAATAATTTCATCAATTATGACTTTTAAGAAACAAATGGAATGGATTATGTTTTGTTCATGTTATTTGTTTTAGGAAGTGTCAAACATTTTATGCAATTATGGACTACATTCCTCTTTATTATACACTACCTGCAGCTCAGAATCACCCAAGGCAAACAATGCAAATTTGAAATATATCAGAACACAGATGAGGAAAAAAGCCATTCACATGAGACAAAAGTGCATGCAATACTTTTATTTCAAACATGCCAGGGAAGCTAATTCATTACCTAGTCATTTAGAAGCAAGCAGCTGTATACAGATAACAAGAAAAACAGCATCTCATTACAGCTCAATGCACAGCATTTTAAGCCAACAGGCATGAAATAATGCAGGCTAAAGCAGCATTAACCAGACATTCAGAAATACATTGTTAATGTCTTACAGAAAAAGGCAAACTTGGAAATGGAAAACCACTCCTATGATCTTGTCTTCTATGACTTCAGAATGATGCAAGTCTAACCCAAATCTTTTGTCCCATCTCCTAAATCTCTCTTCTTTATGTCAGTTTAACACTTGAAATGTAGTGCATTACCACATATAGAATGTGGAATTAGCTACCTGTAAGTAGCTAGTTAACCTCTGTAACCACCTCTTTGCTAATTATATTTCAACAATTTTCAAAGACAGCATTGGTTTGAGGTTACAAAATACACTCTTCTGCTAGGCTAACAGAGGATGCAATGAGTGCCCTCTCATTCTGCTCGCTCTTTCTAACTGAAAGTTATTCATCATATTTATATATGTGGCAGTTTGCTGATGCACACTGCAGTCTGCACTTAAAACTGGAAATATCAATTGAAGGAGAGACATTTCAAGTATGCTATTAATGAACTTAAAGTCTTTCCCATCCTAATCATGTGGGAAACAATGAACTTGTTCTCTCCTTCAGTAGCAGCAATTGTTTAACTCACAAGTGTTTTTAACATTGAAATACAAATGTTATAACTTCCAGATTTACATAAGTCATTCTCATTGCCCTGATCAATCCTGTCTTCCTTCTCTTTGTAAGGTAAGGCACAATATTGTACCAGATTCAGCAAAGGATACTGATATGAGCATCTTTAATTAAGATGCATGATCTACATAGAATTATGTGCAATATTTAATACTTCTGTATATATATGTAGTAGTTCCACACACTACTACTACTACACTAATTTCTCAGTAAATATTAATATAATCTACTGATTTTAACTCTATGTTTAAATACCACCAAAACTCAGTTAAAAGATAACACAGGTCAAGTAATGTTACAGTACAGGTGCTGCAGCAAATAGATGTTTAGCTCAGAAAATTCTGCAGAACTTTTAAGCACAAGGCTTCAAGCTTACACACAATAAAAAAGTTAAACCATAGGCCAAGAAGCACAAGTTCTGTTGAAATGAGACATGTGAAGAGACAACACTGTAAAACATAAGGGGAAGAGGAAAGTACAACAGCAGAGAATGGTTGTGGCATTCTATTAGATTCAAGATGACTGGATTCACCAAGCTGATGATAATGTTGTCATGAGTAAGTCACAGGTTTATCTCCTCTGAAATTCTGCATGCATGATGAATGAAGCCATTTAGTACACTGGGACATTAAAGTATTCATGACGTGGCTACAAAAGAAATGTACATATTCTTACACATAATAAAAAGGTGGACATATATGCAAGGAAAAAAAAAAGATTCTCACTTTTGTATCCCTGACATGGAAGAACATTTTGTACATCAAATAAATACTGTATTTTTGACTGCTCTAGGTTTCCTAGGGAAAAAGTTATGGTTTTACCCCCCTTGTACTTGCATGCTGGCAGCACCAACATATAGGAGAGTTTCACATCATAATTACTCTAGTAATTACTCTAGAAAGTTCAGAGTTTCTTCTCAGCCAAAAATTGTTTGAAGGTAGCTGTTCCAGAGATGGCTCACCCTGTGTATCTGCTACGTGCTAGCCTCTTTGGCAGGAATCAACTTTTGGCTGCTGTGAGAGACATGGCAGTGTGCTAGGTGAACTCCTGACATCTCCTACCATATCCGCTCTCATGAACACTCACTGATAACAGCCCCCAGAATACAACTGCAAGGAGCACAACGTGCCAGGGTAATGCAGCAGGGGGATCACCTGATAGAGACATTACCGTTCTTTTAAAGAGCGCCTGTCTAAAAACTGGGAGCAATCTGAGACACCTCTCACAGCAGGCCAAGTTCTTTGCTTTTGAATTATACCACTGAATTTAATAACCCAGCTCTTTATTTTTACCAGCATAAAAGTTAATACACGATTTGTTGCAAGATGAGTTAGAAATCAAGCAGCATTCAACTTTTTTTTTTTTTAACCCTCCCAAAAAAACTATGTCTTGAAGACAGATAAAGTTTTTAAACACAGCAGTAGTGGTTTAGGAGCATACGCCCCAGATATGCCAATTAAGCACTGTCTGGGAGAAAAACTTCCCTGCATGCAAGCTAGCATCTTTCATTTTATACCCATTAAAATCTTCAAAGTATTTTAGCACCCTATCCCCCGAATCATTGAAGTCTTGGAACAGAACCGAGAAAGTTCTCATGCCTTTAAACCTAACATTTCCTCCATCCTATATTATTTCACAGCAGTATTGCCATCTCATTCACAAAATGTTCAAGGTTGAATATTTTTTAAATTCTTACCTCCACTTAGTAGGAGTCCCTACAAAAATATCCTAGAAGCTTTACAGGATTTACATTGCTTTTTAAGAATTAGTAACCTGACCATTAGTTCATACCAGTTACTTAAATTATCAGGAACAAAACCAGTAGTTCTCAAACAACAGCTCAGTGGCAGTTGCAAAGTGAAGTCTGCTGTGATTTTTGGTAGAACTAAGAAGAATTGGTGGATAGCAGTGAATTACAAATGGAATTTTAACTCTTCAAATTCTTACTGAAGTCAAGTGTCAGCGTATGTTTAAAAATGAGAATGTAGGAGAGTGGAGGTATATTTTTAACTGGAAAAGGAAACATCAAACTGACAGTATACAGTACTAGCCCCAAGGAGTAGGAGCCTCAACTAAAAAGAAGAATTCTAGAAGCCTCCACAGACAAAACATTTCCAGAGATAATTACGGAGAACTTCTGCTTTACTTACACTGCTGGCATGACATTCATTCATGAAGACAACTAAAAAATAGGTACATTGCAATAATCTAAACCACCTAATTTTTACATTTTTGTATTTTCAGTTTTTACCTGTTATCTTTTAGGTTTTTATTACCTGATATCAACAAGTAAGGACACGGAAGTGTTATTTTTATTTACTTGTTACCTTTCTGTAATTTCTAAACTATCCAAATTTACAATTGAATATTCTATTCCCCCCAACTCACCCTTCAGGTATACCCCACCTCATTCTTTGAGCTACAAACCATTGAAAATAGGAATTAAATATCTCTGGTGCGAAAATACTAGTACACAAAATTAGGTGACTGACTCAAATCAATCTCATGGGATTAGGGTCTCATCTTGACAGAAATGTATTACCTACTGATAAGGCAAGATAGAGTGTCAGATAACAACAGGAAGAACGTGGTAATTTCACTCCTGGCAGCATTTTAGCCTATGGAACATGTAAACACCACCTGCAACTAGCCTAGCAATAAACTGACATTGTAGAAGTGAATCTAAAAGATGAAAGGGAAGATACCAGTAACTGAGAGATGAAGCAGTAGCAGCAGATTTGTGAGATGGAAACTGCTGCAGTTCCAGCGAGTCCTCTGTACTTAGGACATCCTAGAATATCACACACAGAGGGTCCAGCACTGTGGTAGCCTCACAACCAACAGAAAGGAAAAAAACTGACAAATTGTATCTGGTCAGAGAACTACAGTACCTCACATACTTCAGCTATGAACTGATCAATTTCTTGCTGCATTCCCTACCACACTGCCTCCAGATAAGTGAGCCTGCAGGTCTGAATACCAGAAAACAGACTTGGGACAGGAAAGGACAGATGTCAACTTTTACAACCAGTGTCCACCCTACCTTGCCTTCCTTCTATGGGACTCTGCAGACCTCAGACATCTGAGCCAGTGAAGCATGTGCTTAAGATAGCTAGCTAGCTGTGAGTTTATAAATAAATTCATCTAGCAGCTAGGGAAGAGGTAATGGTGTTCTCACAGAACAATACAATGTCAAACCATCATGGAACACTGCCCCTGAAAAATCACCACTTATTTTAAAGATGTGTATGTCAACTGTTTATCTGACTTTAACATGTAGATCCTAGTTAGTAGAATCTTTTTTTTTTTCCAAGCTGACATTTGTTTGCAGCTCATTTTTAGAAACCGATTAACACTGGGATTTTCAGTCCAAGTCATTAAAGTTAAAAAATGGTAGAATTTGGGTCACAGGACTATTTAGCCAGTCCAAGCAACATTTTTCTCCATCAGCTTTGTAATGACTCAGCCCAATTAAATATCATAGTCATACAAAAATTAGAAGGGATTTCATTTAATCCAGCCCTCCAAAATGTGTACCTGTAACATTACTGGTATATATTTAATCTGTTAAAGGCATCCAGTGATGGAAACTTTTTAACATCCCCCAGGCAATCCGCCCAAATGCTTCATTATTATTGCTACTAAATTTTTTCCAAACATCTACTTGGAATTTATTTTCTTGCTGCAATTTTTGCCTGCAGTGGACAAGAAAACAGTCTACTTCTTTCAGGCATTAAAGAGACAAATAATTTATGCCTAAACCAAGCTGACTCAAGCTCAGTGCTTTGCCCTGCTGACAATTCAACAGTGAAAAACAGACTTCAAGAACACCTGGCATGTCTCCTTTGTCAGGTACAATTTGCTCTAGGTTTGTTTCAATTTTCTGTCAAAACCAGCACAAACCCCCATGAATATAAGCCATGCTAAACTGCAGACAAAAATACAGTGGCTACCTTATGATAAAGGCTTGGTGTTTTGTTGCTTATTTGTTCTTTCCCAGCATCTAAACAAACCCCAAGTGAGAACAGACAAAATACAGGACCATGAAGTGCACAGCAGTTTGGGAATGATCCTACAGAAAAAAACTCATGTGGAAAAAGAGAGGGGAAGGATGAGGGTTTCTGTTTGAAAACACAAAGCTCTTACAGTAGAGATTAACATTTAACAAGCACTTCTTCAGTAATTCTTCAGAAGCAATTACTTTTACACTCTACTTCTGAATCTTTATTAGGAAATATTTCTAATGAGAGCCTGCTTTAGGAAACTGCTACTGTTCACTTGAAGTTTCAAGGGCCTTAAAATAGTAGGGTAACTGTTTCCCAATCTTTGCTTAGCTAAGTACTCAGAAACTGCAATTACAGGGTTATTGGGAAAAGTCTACTTTACTTACAAGGCAGAGCAATGTGTTTTGTTTCCTCAGAGAGCCTAGAAACACCCAAGAGGTCTTTACTGTGTTCAAATACAACTATTAACTATGATATTGTTTAAAAAACAAAAAAAATATATATATATAGCGATGCCAACTCCAAGTCAAGATCTTGTCTGCAGTTTCATATGTACAGAGCACAAAAAAAGCCTTCAAGATTGGTGCAAATCAGTCAACACAATACTCTAAAACAGCAAAAGCTGTCACAGATGTTTCTCAGCAAAATGTTCTAGCATGTGTGTACAATTAAGGTCTAAAACACTACCATTACCTCAACAGAACAGAGCAGAAGGACGTGACATACAATCAGCAGTGACCTGCCTACCTCCCTCTCAAAAGCAGGAGTAAAAATACCAGTGGAAACTTTACGTACTGTAACCGGATAACAGTGGGTGGTCCTGCTTCTTGCTATTTCTGACCTGCTGGATCAGCGGTGATAATCACCCCAGGAGGCAGTGCTTTCTACCTGCCTGTCAGTTGCTACAAAGTGAGCTAGGAAGAATTAACGTGGTCCGAGCTTTCATGGTGAGGGTGGTTCTGAACATCCACTGGAGGCTTTGCTTTCCCACCACAAGAACACAAAAGCTTTAGGGAAATACTACTGCAGAATGCTCTGCATTACGAAGCCAGAGCCGAAGTTATAAAACAAGTCACTGAGTTCTCCTCTCCCAGACAATACCACGGTGTCTGTATGGTTGGCACGTTGCCAAACAATGCACAAAAGGATTCATTTATGTTTTCTTCCATTCTCTTCCAGTCCCGCACTGCGGCTAGAGGTTTACCTTACTTATTCCCCTTTGCTTAAGGAGCCATTACTTAAACTGCTGGGCTGTGTCTCTGAAGAGATGACCAGCATATACTGTTGTAACAGCCATGTCACGTCCAGTATCATTCAGCTTCCATGGTAATGGCATTTAAGCAGTCCCACTCCTTCCTGTTCTGCAGCACTTTTGCCTTCCTATAGTTGTTTGGACAAATGTTTACAGGGCCAGTTTGTTAACCAGAAAGTGAAAAGTTGCTGACTACAGGTTTTTATAAATGAACATTTAAATACAAACATTTATCATTTTAAACATGATACATGAGGAACACTGGCTTTTTAAAAACACACATACACTGGCAATTGCTGAAAATAAAATGTAATTTAAGTTACATTATTAGCTTTAGAATATGAATCCAACTCCCCGTTTGCCCACAGCCAACCTTCTTTACCACTGGTAACCTTAATTTCTATGTACAAGAAGCAGTTACTTCCAGCAGGCAAACTATCCCTCTCACTTTGTGCAGCCATCTGTCTGTCCCTCTCCACTCACCCCAGCAGACACCATGCCCAGTTCTGCTAATTCTGTGGAGTCACAACGAGCAGAAGTTATGCTCCGTACACAGCGACTATTTCACTCCTTTCAGGGAAAAGCACAAGCCCAGGAAGAAGCATCCCATAGGCAACTGATAACACCACAGTTAAAATCAGTGGGGACAAAGCACATCTGTTCAGCTAAAACCATGCCCCCGAAGAATTAAGGACATATTGTAGATAAAGTCATGTCACCCAGAATTCTCTATGCTTGAGCTTGCATGTTCCTGAATTGGTCTTTCTAACAGTCTAAGACAACAAAAGATTAACACTCCAAAATAAAAACTCTATGCCTAACACAGGTCTAAACTGTCACAAATACCCTTTTTAAAGTTCTAACCACCAGAAAATGTTTACAGTCACAGCATTAACACTAACCTCACCATGAAAACCACACTTCGTAAATAAGCTTACTATTATGAAGAGAAAAGCAATAAACGCGAAGAAAAAAGTGTGGAAAAAATCCAGTTGGAACCTTTAGGTTTTCTTTTAGTTGTTTTAGTATATGTCTAAATTCACATAAGTAATTCAATTTTGAACAAACGACTCTTGTCGGCTGCTCGAATTCTACAGATCTAATATGCAAGCGTATTAGTTACTCCCCACTCTTCGACACCAATAAACTGCCGTATCATGTACGAGGTAACTTCTAAGTGGTAAAACTATCCATATAACCGTATATTGGATTTTGAACATGTTACAAAACATTTTTTTCTATTATAACAACTTCCTTGGGTCTGGAAACTAAATCCTGATCTTTATAAAGCTGCATATGAAATTATATTTATTACTGCAGTTCCACATTACAAAAGCCAATTTGTCTACTGAAATATGTGTATATCCTGATATCAAATAAGCAGCAGGCTAATTAAGTTTTCTCTAGCAAATCATTTTCATGTGCGTTTTAAACTTGCCTTATTTAAGATAAAATCTTACCTTTATTAGTAGGACTGCCACAATGTACTCCTTACGCTTTGGACAAAAATATGTTGCAATGCACTATATATGCAAATAAGCTTTGTTCTGTCATGCAGCATCCGGCACTTGATATACAGTCAATTGCAGCAGCACCCAGTCTTTTTAGGGCCCATTTTCCTTGCACAGCAGATGTAAACAGCCCATTTTCCAGTAAATACACATTTACATGGGTTGATTGTAAGTAAACAAAGCCAAACATCTGTTTAGTTATTAGTTCTGGTATCCATTTCTCTAACTTGCATTATCCCACTTAATTATCGACACCAAAAGAAAGCTAGTAGAAGTCAGACACTTTGAGTTGATGCGGTTAGTACAACAAAGGAAAATAAAAGGGAACACTCAAAGCACTCTTCAAAGACCATCATGCAAGTGTTGCAGAAGGTTAAGCCCATCACCCATTTTTGTTTACCCTTGCAAGGATTTAATTACACGTGCAACAGTCTTTGCATAGCACCCATTTAATCCATGCCACCAAAATGGTAAACTTGGTAGTTACCAATCACTTAGATGGGGGTCAAAAGGGCTAATGTCATAGATTGCTCTTAATCATAAGATATCCTCAGACAAACCTCCCCAGTCTTCATTCTGGCTCTATAAACACAAAATCAAGCAGCAGTGAACATGTAATATCAACTATGTAAAAAACAAATTAAAACACTATTTACAGCTTATTTCTATTTAAGATAAGTTAGAAAATATTCTCAGTTTTATATAAAAGTAAATTCAGTTATTTCACTTAAAAATATTTCAGCTACTGTTATTCATTAACACAATTTTATGAGGTCCTACTAAAAGTCCACCATTAAGAAAGCAAACAAATGCATCAGTAAAGAACATCTGTTCAAAGACTCCATACAGATGCATTAAAGAATACATTAATTTTTCACTTCTTAACAAGCTAAGGATATTAATTCCTTAAAAGAATAAGCTCTAGAGTTAATCAGAAAGCTTCACCTATGCTTGAAGAGAACTTAAAATCCGTTGTTTGTTATTGTAACCTTAACAGACTGAGAGCATAGTAGAGCATAGAGATGGTATCAAGTTTACATATATTTAATCCAGTGACCATTTCACATAGTGCTTTTACTAACATTGATATTTAAGTAAGTTTTGTTCCATGAAGGGAGATGAGTAACATTCAACTTATCCCTTAAGTAATCTAAACAATTTAATTCAAGAGCTATGTAATGATATTTACTCCTCTAATAAGTTATCATTGTTACTTGCTGAGCTGTATGTGATAAACCAGTTGTTTTCATGTAGTAATGCCTGGTACAAGAAGTTGAACAGCTTTGCTTTAATCCATACATTAATCATCCATACTTAGATTTCTCAAAATCTCAAAAAAAAATCAAAAAAAAAAGTGGATAGGCCTTCTCACACATTTCTTGCCTTTTCAAATCAAACTTTCAGCATAAGATTAAAATACACGCACTTCCAATGTACAGCCAGCATGAGAACTATTACTCCTGTTAGACAGACCTTTAATAAAAAAATAGAGCTTCTTCCTTTAAAATAGTATCTAAAAGCTACCAAACATACCAGCAACATGCCTGACATTTGTACAGATATGAGCACAAAAGAGATCAGAATTCAAAACCTGAACACAATGGGATCCCTCCTGGGGGCATTCATATTTTTTTTCGTCTGCTGTTCTGTGGAGCTCTAAACACATCTTCACCAGTAATGAGAGTTTTAAGGAAGGACAGTACTACTGCAACATGACACATCATCTCACACAATTCTCAGACACCAGAGGGAAATGGAATTTTCTCCTCACTATCTCAAGGTTCAAACATCTAACACTACTCTTTTCAGCATTCTGCCAGATTTAGGGAACACATTCTATTAAAATGTAGATTTATGTGCTCATTCAGAAAGAGCATCTAATTCTGAAGATAAGATACTCCTTACTGTCAAGCAGTCTTCTGCAATTGTTCATTGAATTTTCTATGTTTATTGACCAAAAGCATGCAACTAAGCTCCTGGAAACAACCATGGATTATGCAGCAGAGCTAAAATTTTCGTCGTATCACCCCAATGCAGTACTTCTACAGACAGCAACAGAAAAGCATCTCCGGAGAAAATCTATCAGGAGTTCAGTATTGTTAATATACCCTTCACAGTTCTATAAGGATCACTTGTATAAAAGAATAATCAATTCCATAGTTAGTTTTGTGATGTAAACATTGATTGTTAGTATTGCAATTTGTATCAGAGAGGGTACTGAATAATTGCCAGGAACACCAAGGACTTGTACTAATATGCCTTACTTATAATTGCTTATAGTGTTTCAATTTGCAAACCAAATTGAACATTTAATCCAAGACTTATATTGTAGATGCCTTCCTCATAACTTCAGGATTCTTAGGACATTCTAATCAGTTTCTGATTTAAGAGAATAAAATTACTTGCATCTTACATGTGCACCCTGAACAAAACTATCAAGAAAAAACATTATGGAGACAAACTTATTAAAATGAGATTCTAAAGGTCTTCACAAAAGTTGCACATGTGAAGAACAGACTGATTTTTATCATTTTCAATTCAAAGTGAAGGATAGGGTAATATCTGACCATGTGTTTCTGGAAAGACAACTGGATTTCTAAAATATTTGGAAACTAGTGTGCAAACCTATGGTAATGAGGTCCTAAGAATCATGAAATCTAGAAAAGCAAGAAATTTCAAAGAGTATTAGCATAACTACTAACTACATCTCTCCAAATAAAGAATAAAGAATATAAGACTCACATATAGACCAATCATTAAGTTATCGGGGAAAAGAGTCTTAAAATGGGAAGTGGGTGAAGTATGATATGACAACATCTTGGATACTCAATGACACTTTTTTTTTTTTAGGATAGCTATTAGGTCTGGAAAGGTTAACTTCCCCTCCTCTCTCATTGCTACCTAGGAGAAAAAAAATGAGATGAAGGTTCTACTACTCATTTTCTGCACACACTCTGATTGCTTGAAACAAGAGTACGATCTGGTATTTGCAGGAAAGCCTATTCCATAGCACACAGAGGACAGTTGAAAAATATGTATTAAAAATACAGAAGTACTTCTGTATTTGAGGATTACAGACCTGTCTGCTACTACTAAAGTGACAGTTGTAATTAGAGGTTTGTTCCAAAGAAGTGATATTCCTATCATTTCTGATGATGTATATTCTTAGAGTTCATTCCATCTGAAGTTCAGCTGAATTTGTATTACGTATGTCAGAAACTATGAACACATCTTCAAAAACAGTTGGCAGGTTTTATCAGTACTTTTAAATTTAGAGACCTGATGACAAGCAAGATAGCCATAAAGAGATCTAGATACGAAGTCAGTAATGCAGTTCTGCAGAGATTTTAAGTCACTTTACTTGAGCAGAATGCTACAAAGAGTGAAATAGTTAACAAACATACACACCAAAAAAGATACTGTAGCCAGAAGTTAACTGACATATTTGGAAACACCAAACTTCAGCAGTTCTACACAATTAAGAACTTTGTAACTCTTTTCTCCTTGCTTTGCATCCCTTGAAGGCTGAATTTAAGAGGCAGGCTAGTTTTCAGCACCAGAAGAATAATTTGTATCATATTAGAACAACACTTTGACAAGCGTACTTCCCTAAGACAAGGTGCAAATGAGTTCCTCTGAAGTGAAGGGTATTACATATACAGTAATATCACTCTAGTCAAGTTATGTATACAAGGTTTGCTTCATTCAAAAAATAACCATCTGTTCAGCTCATGTGGGAAAACGAACAAAAAAGCAACTGACCACTAACATATGCTTTATCTTGGTTTTACATAATGTTTTATGATCAACTATGCTAGTCTTTCAGAACAAGCAATGCAGCTTTTTATTCCCAAAACTGGAAAGAAAAATCTACCCGTCAAATCCGAAGTATCTGAAAAAAAAAAAAAAAACTGTTTCCACATGCATGCATTTCTTCACCTAATACTGTATTAGCACCTACGTTTTAAGCAGCACAATTAAGAAAGCACACAATACTTCAAAAAGGAAGTCAATATGTTGAATGCACATTCCAAATATATATATTCTATATATAATATATATAAAAATATATATTCTATATTCTATTTACATATAGGCTCTTCTATGACACTTGCTAAACTACTTTGCATGTCTCATGAATAAGTCTGGTTATACTTTCTCACATCTATCACATGAAGACAGAAGTAGTTTCATTCCAGGTTCTTAAGATCTCCAATCAGCACCATAGGAGAACTCACTTTTTCTTTCTTGATCTATTTATCAGTCAACAAATTCCATATAACCAGACAAGACATATGCTTCATATGTAAACCAAACAATCGAAATCTAACTGCAATACAATCTCTGCCACATATCCAACACCCTTCTGGCACTGATGCCTGAACAGCATTAAAAAAAAAAAAAGTCAGCTACCAAAACAATACCACAACTTACTGAATCTTGTAAGAGTTGAGAGAGATTCCCAAGCAACGTAGGCCTTCGGTATTTCCTAATCCTTGTATCATTAACTAAGAGCATGTGTTACCTCCATCACGGTAACTCTCACAAAGGTCCCCACAAATATCTTTTAAAATATAATTAGAGACCATTGTCTGTTTATATAATCAAGCATATACATGTCTTTAAGAACTGCAGCCTTAAGCTGACCAAGCTATCTACTTCAAAGTGAGTCAGAAGTTACACATCACAGTCAAGGCAGCCAGATCTCCCTTAAAGAGAGATTACAACAAAGATTTCATTGTTGATTCCTGTTGCACCCTGAGAGGCATACAGCCAGGTACAGCTGAAGCACAGAACATCACAGCCAACTTCAGAAGGCAGTCTACTGCAGTAGTCCGTATTTAAGAGCTAATGTAAAGCAAAGCTAAGTGAAGACTGAATTCATGGCATTATGGTAAGTTTCTCAGAAGACTAGTAAGAAACAGGTGCTTACAGAGGCTCTTTCCTAATCCAGACACAGAAGCCTTATGCTCTCACCCACTGTAGGTTTTCAAAGATGTTCTTTTGTCACCACTAATGCTAACATTGCTCTAATTTCTCATATTCCAAGAACAACCTGTCGTGGTTTAACCCGGCCGGCAGCTAAACACCACGCAGCCGTTCGCTCACCCTCCCCCCTCCCTCTCTGGGACGGGGGAGAGAAATGGAAAGTGAAGCCCGTGAGTTGAGATAAAGACAGTTTAATAAGACAGGAAAATAATAATAACAAAATAATAATAACAATAATAACAATAATAATAATATGGTGATAATAGGGAAATAATAATAATATGTACAAACAAGTGATGCACAATGCAATTGCTCACCACTCGCTGACCGATGCCCAGCCTAACCCCGAGCAGTCCGGCCCCCTTCCCCCGGCTAGCCACCCCTATATATTGTTTAGCATGACGTCAGATGGTATGGAATACCCCTTTGGCTAGTTTGGGTCACCTGTCCGGGGTCTGTCCCCTCCCAGCTCTTACTGCACCCCCAGCCTGCCCGTTGGCAGGACAGAGCAAAAGGCTGAGATGTCCTTGGCTTAGTATAAGCACTGCTCTGCAACAATTAAAGCATCGGGGTGTTATCAGCACTCTTCTCATCCTAAGCCAAAACACAGCATTCCACCAGCTACTAGGAAGAAAATTAATTCTGTGCTAACTGAAACCAGGACACAACCTAATGCCATCTCCCCGCTATTACACATACCTTCAAATGTACTGTGTACAAAGCGCACATCTCCAAGAGAAGTTTCACAGCCAAATCTTGCACAGGTCAGCTGATATTAACAACTTAACCACACTTCTGTATATAGGATGAGGTAAGGACTTGAAATAGCAAAGTAAATGAGGGTGATTCATAGCATAACTATTATTTTTCATGTGGATGAACTAGCAGATAGTATCAGAGGCCAAACTGCAAGAGCCTATGAAAAACATTACACAGCTTCTACATATTTGATCATTAGTAGAACAGTGATAGAAAAAGTGATTTGTGAATAGATCCACTTTTTTGAGATCTTCCAAAAAAAATGTAACTTAAAGTATCTTAGACGTTCTGTGATCAACTACTGAAAGCATACATAACCTGTAAGAATAATGGTGAACAAAATGGGGACAATTTCTGAAATAATTTTATAAAAATGACAGATAAAAATACCAAGAAGAATTTTAACTTGAAACTAGTGTTTAGGAATTTGCTCCAACCTCAAATGAGGAACAGCAATTCTGTATAAATTTGGTTTCAAATATTTACGTAACCGCCTGTTTTAGATATTAGAATTAACTCCTTAAATTTACATTTTCATCACAGTGAATAACCATGAACTTCCAAGGAGCATACTAGCTTTCTTGGACCATCAAATAAAAACACAGGAAATTCAAAAGGAAAAATGGATCCTCTCCTTTCCATAAAACACATTGTGTTGAGAGTTTCATGCATTAAGAAAAACAAAATCACGCATGTTTTAGATCTTTCACAGACCACACATATGCAGCCATGCACAAACAGTCTGCAAATTTGCCTCCTTGAGTGGATCTCATAAAACAGAAACACGTGCCTCCGTAGTCACTACTCAAGTATCTAAAATTCCTACAGCAAACGAGCCATAGAACTATCAAACAAGACACACAACAGTATTTTCAACAGACACTTCTAGCAATAGACTCACAGTGAAGCATGGAAGCATTAGAATAGTTTTTGCTATCTGGATAATGGATAATACTGCCAGTTTTGGTAACTGACTATTAATAAGTTATCAGATGGTAATAAATGGGAGGTAAGGAACAAATATTTGAACTGAGTGCAATTGTAAGAGCTAAAAGAAATGGATGAAAAAGGCATTAAAACTTTTCATATTTCAGTCCCATGAACTCTACCAGTAAGTGAACTGCACAGCACAAAGACCTTAAGGACACAACAAGTGGGTGCTCAGAAACAGAAGCACATCCTGGAAAACTGCCACAAGAATATAAGTAGGCAAAACTATTAAGAACCCATTTGCTATTCAGCAATTTATGCCTCTGCATTTTCTTTTAACATTACCCAAACAGCCACTTAATGTATTTGTGATTATTTTCCATTGTGTAAGCATTCTGTACAGCTTTTAAGGTGCTTCATACATTAATGTATGTACTATTAATAATGTATATTCAAGACTGATTAATAATTTTTAAATTAGGCAATGCAAGTTTTCAGGTCGAAATAAAAGTCCCTTTGTTGCACATTGTTTTTGACTGTGTCACACTGTAATAAACAAACCATAACCCTGCAAGAAATGGCTTGCATTTGGAATCAAAACATTGCACTCCAGTAGCTTTCAGGTATTCTGGAAAGCAAAAATAAACTAGAGGTACAAAAATATTCCATTTGCGACAAACGATTATTTTAACAATATTTTAATGAGCTGCTTCTTTAAGCTCAGAATGCACATTGTAGTAGTTAATACAAAATACCATCCAGAGAAAAAAGTCAAACTTTTTGGAAGCTCAATTTAAATATAAAAATCAGACCTTTACAGGTCTTTGTATTTAATGTATATTAAAAAGCATATATATGGAGTAGTTTTATACTTGACTGACAGTCGATATAATTCTACTAAGAGTGAAACAGTGAAAAGAATAGCTTATAAAAACAAACACATAACTACAGCAGAGCCATGAGCCAAGGGTTAAATTCGAATTTAATCAGAAAAGCATTACTAGATCTTGACAGAACAAAGAAAATCTCAGGTGGCAAAGGGAAGGCTATAGAGTAAAATGCATCAGGGTAAAGCTATCACAGCAAGGGGAAGGTCTCCAACTGAAAGTCATACTTTATACATTCACATTTTTAACTAGAATTTACATGATGTAAGTGTAAAGAGTATGCTAACTGTTTAGAAAGACTGTCATTAATCTCTAGTTTTTGCTTTACCAGGAGAGCCTTAAGAAATGGTGAAAATTAAACTTAAAACAAATGATCAGAATACAGTAACTTCATCTAATATATAAATTAACTCTGCATTTTCAGGAGATGGACTGGAATAGGTAACTGTTATATCTGTTTTTATATAAAGAACAGCATAAGGTTTTAAGAGAAACTGGATGGATTTTTCCCCTCTTTGTACCTGGAAGTCCTCTTGCAGTTTAAGGTAATTATTTCCAAGTGTAAAGGAGGGACTGACAAACTTCTTCAGAATACAAGCAGAAAATACACGCAAGTATTTCCTTCCTAAAAAATAGCATCAAATCCGTGTGTAACACTGACCCTAATCATAACACTAACTAGCTGCTGACAGACAAGAACTTCAATGTGTTGTGGATTTGTCTGTGCTCTGAAAGAGCTACAAACACAATCACAAGGAAAAGAATAGAAAGTGATGTGCACCTGCATCTTATTAATACCACAATCAACAAAGAAATACCACATGGAACACAGCACACTCATATCAGAACTAAGTAGTTAACTGACTGGACAAATTAACAAACTGAAGGGTCACACAAGTATAAAAACAGAGCAGCTAACACGTATATGAGTGAAACTTTAAAAAAAAAAAGTTCATCCCTGCTCAACCATGCAGTTCACTGACTCACACACAAGACTGATGATATCCCCAGCCCACCAGAATTTTGTGAATTTCACTCAAACATTTGAGAACCTTAATGCTGACCTCAAGACTACAGCAATTAATTACAAAGAAAGGCACAGAACTGAGTAACAAGAGGGAAATGTTATAAAGTTTTTTCTATGCCACTGAACACCCCCCCAAACACTTTCCAAAGAAAAAGGCTAAGATGCAATCTGGATTTTTCGTTAGAGTTAGTAATGAACAAATGCATTCAAAGTGAAAAAACAGATGTCTGTACATTTCATTCTGTGTGGTTCTGTGGCAGTACTATTACGGCTTTTCCAACTTAAAAAGACAGAAACCAGAGTAAGCAACCTATAGCAGAAAAGCATGTCTTTAGAATCTAAAGAACTATACCTGAAGGAGTCTCAAAGGAGAGAGTCTAGCTTCTGGATTTCAGCAATGAAACAGTAAAGAAGTGAACATGCATCAGGTATGACAAAAAACTAAGTGCTGATTAATAAAAAGAATGAAAGACACATGAACAAAACTAAAGCTGCACGATCTATAATTACCTAGGTATACACAGAACAAACACACAAAATCACAGTAGGTTACAATATACTCATGCCAAACAAGATGAGAAGAGCAGATAATGTTGTAGTATTGCACAATTAGAACAACTAAGCAGAAACTACATGCTAGGCATGCTAGAAAGCACCTTCTACAAGCTCAAAGAAACAGGAACTTTTTCTAATCACAGTCTAGCATGCCCATACTTTGACCAGAGAAGTTTAATTTGCTTACCTCCTGTAAAAGATCTGCCTGCTCAATGGCTTTGAGAACATTTTTCTTGGAAGTCTCCTGAACTTCCCCTCCCAAAAGGAACTCATCCAGAATAAAATAGGCTTTTTCAAAATTGAAGATGATATCAAGTTCACATACCTACAAAGAACATCAAGCATTACTGCGAAGTGGAAGTACACCCTGTTGAGGTGTCCTCTCACAAAACTTAACTTGCTCACAGCTTCACCAAATGAGGATGTTAGCTTCACGCTGTAACTTTTTAAATTGGGCAACAACAACAAAGAACAGTTTGAAACCAAAAGGAATAATTTTTTTTTTCCTCAAGTTAAAAAAAAAAATAGAGCAGTCTCTTTTAAAAGCCTTTTCATTGTTAAAAAGTTCAATTCACAACTGACAGTCAGTCTGACATGTCTTTCATGAGGCAGAAGATCACCACTATAGTTATCTTCTTCCCTGAGCTATCCAGAGGCAGATCATGCAATTGTACAGAAAAATTTTTGAACAGTCACAATTTCTTATTCATCCTGTGCATGCCCTAGTCAGAAGGGCTAGAAAGACAGAAGGATGAGCAGCAGTGTTCCTAAGTGCAAACGCACACTACCTCTGTTCCGTTTGGTTTTGGTATCTGGGAAAGCAGATGCCTTGTCTTTTCTTCTCTTCCCCCTCCTGCTAGCTCACAACCAACTGCCTTATTTGAAAGCAGATGTTAGAAGTGTTGGAGCATGGGGAAAAGTATATACGCAAGAGCAACACCAGGAGAAGAGAAGCTGGAAGCCTGGACAGATAGCTAAGAATTCATAAGACTTTATCTGACCACAAATGAAACTATGAAATAAAATAAATATAGGCAATTAACACCAGACTATCAACTGTTCTTCTCCAAAATCATATTTTTATATTTTAACAGGTATGTAGGCACTGATCAGTTTAGTTTGGCCAAGCAACAGAAAATCTGTTAGATAAACCGTTTTAACAGACAGTTGATTGTATTTTAAATAAAAACACTGTGGAAATAAAACAAAGTGATGTAATATAAAGAGACTGTGAATCCATAAAAAAAATAACTGAAAAGAAGTTAACTCACACTTCCAAAATACTTGTCAAGAAGTTCTACGTAACGATGAATTATTTCCAGAGTTATTAGTTCATTGTCCTGATCTTCAATAGCACAGCAGAAATAGAGGCTTGCATATCTGTAAAAACAAAATAATCCTCGTTAGCAAAAGATGAGTAAAATGAATACACTTGAGAGTTATTCAATTCTCAGTAGTCCTTAAACTTAACTTTACAGTGTTGTTAGTTTGTACGAATAGCCACGCAAGCTCTACCAAAAAATGGCTTGGAGACCAACAGACACGCACATGGACCCAAAGGGATCTGCCTTCCACAGTTAAAGAGGACTTCATTTTTTATCATCTTTTAGCTGATGGAATTAAATTAGCCTCATTAGCATTTGGAAAAGGAAATATATTTGATTCTCTAGCCTCCTGGCAGAGTTTTGAGGCAAGATGTTTTCTCCACTAACTGTAACATCCAAACACTGGTATACTAATCAACAGATTAAACGTTAAAGTTATAGCACACAAGCTACACATATAACAGCTAATTAAAATGCCCTGGGATAAATAAATGGAACTAGCAATTTAGGATTTGGTCTTTAGAGAATTTAACTAATGCCAAAAAATTCCAGGACTAACACTAATGTCATATACCCCAAGCACTATTAAGTCAACAACTCCATCACTACCAACTGTTCTGGTGTCAGGAGAGGCCATCAGCTCATTTCCAGCAATCCACTTCCACCCTGGAATACAGGCAATTATTTCCTCAAATGTGATCTTAAGTTCCACTTTAACAAAAAGACTACCCAATTCTATCGTATGACACCACACAGTTATTGAATTCATGTTTAAAAAAGCAGATGAGGCAAAACAAAAACAGGAGTGAAAGCTGAAAAACCCGTTTGCTCTTTTGTAAAGTGCCAAAACCATATGGCACACAGATACACATGGCAGAAATGAGATTTCAAGTAACACCTGTTGTAGCCACTGATTTATGTGAACCAGGAGCTGCTTTTGTTTGCCCATTTAGAGAGAACTGGCAGTGTTAAGCACTGAGTAGCCAACCTTGTTAAAAAAAAGTCATTAGGATATAAACACCAAGTTTAAGATGCATATTCTTTTCCCACACACTGAAATGAATATGCCTTTTTAACATTACAGAAGTTTTTATCACTTTATCATATTATCTGGAACTCTGTAAGGCCTAAGAGAAAATGACTTTTTTTTTTGCTAGAAATCAAAAAAAATATTTTGTAGTGTGTTGAAGTATCTCCCAAGCACTTAGCTAGTATCATTCATGATGATGCTGAAAGTCTCACCCCCCACTCTGCTCTAGCCGATTCAAGTCACAACTGATCAGAAACACTTTTATTCAGAAGTTCTAAGCTGTTATACAAAAAAAATTCTATCCCCCACTTCTTTCCAACCCATCACAAAACCAGACTTGGGGGATAGGGAAGGGCTGGTGAAAAGAGAAGGCAGGTACCTCCAATGAAGCGCGCAACACTAATTCTCTTGCTCTTTCATCTCTTTACCATGGTGACTTGTCAGCTCATCAGAAGCTCTATCTGAGAACAGTTCTTTTGATTTTACACTGCTGTGCTTGTCCCTCACTTTAATACTTCAAGGACATTTACAGCCATTGTAGTAGCTTGCAAAATGCTATCTGTATATGGCATCTTTAAACAAAGATGCTTAAAAAAGGAAAGAAGTATGAAGAAAAACTGTTCTCAAACCTCCTGATTTTTTATTTTTTAAGTCTAGCTCCAAGTTAGCATATTTGCTTGTAGAAAAGAGAACTTTGTACATTAGTTGACATTTATGGTGGTTACCAGCACCGAAGTCAAATACACCTAAACAAAATGTCCTTCATATACAGATAAGCAGAATTGATTACGAAGTATAGGTAAACCATTCCCATAGTGCTTAAACAAGTTGAATCACACACCAGTAAAACTTATCAAATCACATTTGACTTAAATATTTGAAACGTACCCACACGGGACAGTCCTTTTGCGTTTCTCTATTACTTAAGAGCCTCTTTTGACACTCGGAATTATTTTATGGAAGTACAAAAAGAAAAGGGAGGGAGAGGGATTTTACCTAACATAGAACACTTTCCAGGAAAGCTGTCTGCTCTCAGTGTTCTCATTTAAAAGAAAATGTAGCATACTTCTGAAAGACTTTATTTGGCAGCTATTAAGCAAAGTATACTTTCAAGCTCTGCCAACTGCAGTCTTGGAAAAGGAATACCAAAAAATGAAAACTACTTGTCATAAGACGAAATGGAGGCCTAGGTATCTATCCCTAGAGAACATTACTTTCTTTTTCTTTCCCTTTTTTTTTCCCCTCCAAGTAGTTGAGGGGAAAATTCAGGCAGATTCAATATGCCTACTTTGCAAACAGTGTAAGATTGTATATGTCAGCCATCATTGCAAAGGGCATGTCGATACTGGAAACAAAGGTATGCATTTCTTAAGACCCAAATTCTCAACAGCAATAGTTTGCTGTCATTTCTTCCCTCTACAGCTGATGGCTTCAGAAAAGTGTCCACATATACTCTTGAACAGATGGAGATTGTCTATACAAAGATGAGTAAATTTCTGTAGTCAAGCTGAAAAAATTATTTAACCTACAGAAATGTTGTTTCTTCCTAATGAACCTGAGAGAGAACTCTTAAAACGCTTAATGAAGAGGAAAATCTTGAAATAAAATAAGCCACAGCACACTGAAAAGCAAACACCGCCCAGCCTGTAAGAAACATTCTGCCATTTTCATTCCTACTGCAGTTTGAGTTCTCCAGACCACCCCCCACCCTGTAGGATCCTTAGCCCTAAATCAGCTGTTTACACTCAGTTAGGGAAATATTTTATGATAAAACACTGTCTGCTTGTCAGAAAGGGGGACCAGTTCCAGAGACCAAGAACAGTTTGGAAAAATCACCTAAGAATGCAATAAGAAATGGAAGAGCAAAAGGGAACTACAGGCAACACAAACACTAAAATTTGTGCCTTCAGGCAGGTGACCTTACAAAGGTGTTTTTTTTTTTTTTTGTGGAGGGAAACAAATTTATGAACCTTCCTCCAGCAGCTGCACTAGTCCAATAGCGAGAAGCCTCATAACTGGCAAGGTAATCCTTCAGCCACATTCTCCCCTAACTGCTCACTGCCAGGCTCCCCAGTTCTGCTGAGGGATCAGGTCACTGTGGGCAGAGCACAGCTTGCAAGCCCTATCCATTCAGTAGTCTACATGATGAGAGAACACCTGCTTAAAGTCATCACTGACAGTTTGTCACCAGGTAAAGCTGAAGCCTGAAGACCTTCAGCATCTAAGCTCCTTTGCATGTATATTCTGTGTGCAGAAACCTGAAACCTATTGAGCTCAGAAAGAGCAGAGCTCAACTCAAAGCCACCACCACCATGCTATGCTGCCTTTCAAAGGCACAGGTACTTCAGGCAGCCCAAGAGTTTGGGACTTGGTGATAGGTTATCACAGTTGACCCAGTGAAAACTGCAGCCATTAAAGTTGCCCTTGGCACAAGATTTGTTCCTCCTTCAAAGGAGCTGCATGTTTCATTAATAAGAAGTTCTAAGACTCTAGGACAGGCAGAGCAGTCACTATTTAATTAGGATACAGAAATAAGCAACAGTAATAAAGCTATCTAAAATAGGCATTAGTTCCACAGTTTCTTATTTCAGCAAGGCTATAACCCCTACGTTTAGAGATGAACAAAATCTTGGTACTGGTAATCCTCTGTAAGATAAAGCTGCTGCTTCTGCCTGGATACATGCAGAGGTCCTCCTAGTACCACAAGAACCAGGATAGCGTACAGAGAACCTAAGCTAGTTAAAACAACCAAACTTAAGTACCTAATTAACTATTATCATTACATTCAGTCAGTTTTACAGAGATACCTACGCAACATTTTTAACAGATACAATTCTGTTAGATACACGTAAGGAACAATACTGATCAGGTCAACTACTGGCCCTAGCACTTGCCACATGACTACCAATGGGGATCAAAATATTGAGTGGAGGCGCACACTGCTTGCAGAATGGGCTCTTTTCTTTGGAGGTGGAATGTAGAAGGAGAGTTTTAACCCCCCTCTCCCCCCCCCCCAAGTCTTTAAAGTAACCTATGATTAAGGTTATTTGACATTAAATGGAAGGCTGTCACAACACTAAAGGCAGCACAAGCTGTGACAATTTAAAATGATGTACGGCAATACAGTTCCAAATTGACATATAAAAGCAAAATCACAATCCTTAATCAAGTTACCAATCAACAATAACCAAGTCCAACAACCTCAGTATACCAAATGATAATAAGTAAAATTTACATCAAAATCAGTAATTCTGCAATTTCTGATTTCAAGTGCCATATACTACACAATGAAAATAACTAATACTGCCAGAAGCTAAAGCAGCAAATAGCTGAGATCTTAAAAGAAAGAAAAAAAACACACAACCTATCTTAAGTTCTCTTTCTAGTAAAATATTAGAATTTTTAACATTTAACAATGATTTCTCTGTCAAAAAGGGAAAGCTGCACAAACTACTATCCAATATTGTATGCTCCAATACTACTAGTTAAAGAACAACAAAAGGAAGAGCAACATGAATTGTATTTGCTAAGTTTCTAATCAGCTGTCTGCAGACAGCTCCCTCTCAATTGTTAATGGATTCCCATTCTTTATTTTATTCTTTTTTTCCCCTGGGAAGTCACTTCAAAACTGTCTTTTGGAGTCAGAAGTTCATATCCTTTTTCAGTCTTTGGATGCCTACCAGCCTGAAAAACTCTCTTCCAAATGAGCTACAGAACACATCCAGCCCAGTTCATGAGCTATGTCAAAAACAGGGCACCTTACTATCTGCATTTTGAGATCTCTAAAGAATTTGTATCTCTAATGAAAAAATAAGGCAACAATGACTGACCCAGTTTTGCAAGCATATGAACGCTACACATATGAAACTAAGGAGAACAGAAGTAATCGCATATTCAGATGGATTTTAAGGACATACAGCTCTGTCTCCTTGAAGTTTCATCCAGAAAGCATTTTATATGAATGATAAGGATGAAATCCCAAAGAACTAAGGAGGCTAATCAAAGTAGTCCAGCTTTCTTGCCAAATGTGAAATATCAGAAGGCAGCAAAAGCTACAAGCTTGTCAATTTTGCATTTGAGTTGGTTTTATTTTTGCAAAAACATACAATGAGAGCCTAGAGTATACTTCTAATAATGCCAACCATTCTTTGAGTTGATATATCTAGGTCAATTCTCTCACACCTGAAATGTTGACAGTTAATATGCTCTAAAAACACTTATAGCACAAATCAGCCATTTCAGACTCATAATAGCAATATGTACATAAAGCATACACAACAGCAATACATACAAACATTTGTAGCTTTTATTTAAAAAAGTATTTTAAAAAACATTTGCGCCAAGAGGTTGAGATCCTTCCCAATAAGAGACCAGACAAGAACAGACAGTAGTGATGTGCAGGAGTCTTGTCTGCAAGCAAATGCGAGCGCCTTCTGCAATTTCATAAACCACACAGCTTCTGTTAGGTGTCTTGCTCTTTTAGCTACCCACTGTTCAGGAAGTACTGGACCTTGACTATTTTAGTTGTCTTCTCGGTATAATCTGCTGCTGAGCTAACAGATCTGCCTTTTCAAAGAGATCATGGTAGCTGACACACTAATTACGGTACATTGATTGGGAAAAAAGTCTTTCCCCTGAAAACCTAAAAGTAGTTGCTGTACAGGATTTTAAACTATCACCTCTTACACTCGGTCCTTTTGGTGATGTTTTAGCCTAGTGCAACTGCCAAAAAAAACAAAGTATAACAGGAATTGAGATGTTAATTAGCTTGATACAAGCTAATCTTAAGCAATTTCATAGGCTAACTGTGCCAGATTGGTTTGCAGGCAGTGAAAAAAGCTACTGCAGTCAGCTGTGCACACCAGCAGTCTAGCAGATGGACTGCAGTCTACATACACATCGCAGCCAACTTCTGTATTCTCCTTGACCACAGATCCCATTGCATGTTACTGAGATGCACGAACACCACAACTCAAAAAGCCATACACAGATTTCCACTTGCTATCTGAACAGAAAAGGACATGATAAGCAGTTGACAACCGTTGTAAAGAGACCGGGAGAGAGAATAGCACCAAATGAACTCACTACTACAACAGCTACCACCGTTTGAGACTGGGCAAGGAGTAGAACAGGCTGGCCTACTCATGCCCCATTCTTCTGATCTAGCCCCATAAAAGCCCAGCTGAAAGCATACTTGCATGCATCATCGCTTACAGGAGCACAGAAAGCATTTGAACAAGCTTGTCTACATGTATGTTGAAGAAGTTTTGTAAGAAATCAACAGGAAGAAAAAAACCATTGTTTTCTTTAAGCACAGCCTTATTGTGTTTCCTCCTGATTTTGGAGATCTACACAGATCAGATACACTGGTAGCTTTCATGTGCACGATGCTACATGCACTGATGTACATATGAAAGCAGGACTTAGAACATCTATTCCTTTTTTATTCTACTCAGTACAGTGGAGGAGAGTCAGAAACTCAGTTTCAGCGCCAGTTCTCTCTGTCATTCCTACTGACAGAACACAACAATATTGTAAGGCACTGAAATTATTTACCACCTCAAAGAAAATAAGAATGCATAAACCTTTTGAAGTTTATAAATAACTAGAGCAGGGAGTTAACTCTAGGTTTCATAGCACCAGCTTTAGCTGAAATAGAAGCAGCCTCCCAAATCACAATGATAATTACGGTAATTTGTGAGGAAAATTATTTCTACACCTCTACATTGTAATACTTTCTAAAGATCAGAATAAAACTAAAAAATTTCTTGCCATACACTTTAGCAAGTTAGTGAACAATTGGGACAGGAAACTATTGCTAAAGAAAATTCTACAGTAGTTGCCCCAAAAAGAAGCTAGTCATGATTTCGTAAGTTAGGAGAAATGCCTTTGCGTGTTCATAGCAAAACAAAAAAACAAAACCCTACATACTCTGAAACAAGAGAATGCTTTCCATATTTCTATGAGCTTTTAGAAGCAAGTAACATTTACAACTACTTTATGAAGCCACTGCCTGAGGTAAATGTTTATGAAATTTAGTATTTATTACCTATTACATCTTACATGCTTCCTATTTCCATGCATTTATTTATCGTAGGCATCTAAGCAGAGAACTAAAACCCACCACTCCTTATGAAAGTAGAAGGGAACCTCATCTCTTCAGCACATTTCGAAACGCATGAATGACTTTCTACACATGAATGATTCCTACTTGGCTATCAAATTAGATCCAAAGGAAAAGTCTGTCTCCTCCATAGCCAGTAGAGGGAAGAAAAAGAGATAAATTAAAAAAGTCAACCATCATTATTTTCTTGCTTATTACACTATTTGTGACATATGGTAATTACAAGGTTAGTGAGAAAGAATAACCTTTTGTAGACAATCTTCAGGTCTCTCCATTCCAGGAAGCTGCACATTTTCGGTTTGCGGGCTAATACTGTTTGAACAAGTTCCCTTGTGATTTTCTTCTTCTCTTTGTCAGATAACGGGACATACCACTTCTGGAGTCTCAGCTTCCCCTGGCGACTAAAAAGCAACATAAACTGCATCTGTTGAATTAGAAGGGAAAAAAAGAATAAAGGATTAATCTCAGTCTCTTAGTTTAAGATTAGATAGCTACGAGGAAAACCAAGCAGGAAGCAAGATAGGCTTTTGGATGGCTATCTACATTATGCATTTCTACAGCGGTGGCAGATGTTACACAAGATTTGAGAGTACCAATAACACAAAGGATTCAGCTGAGCAAGGTCAGGCAAAGCAGAGATAGTAGAAAGCACGCACAAGTTTCAGAAACGCAAGTCAGGCAGCGAATACACCCCAAATCCTGACAAACCGCGTCCAGCCAGCCCCGGCACGGCTGCATATGCATTCACGCCAGGAAAATAACAAAAAAACGGCACAGCCACCTCGTCCAACACCCAACCTCCTTTTCAATTCACCGGCTTAGAGCCTTGCAGCAAGGAGCAATTTGCACTTAAGATCTCTCCGAAAAGCCTCCGAATACTTTAAGAGGCATTAAACCTCCCAGCGGAGCGTCCTGTGGCACGGCAGAGCCCTGCCTCGCCTCGCCTTACACAAAAGGAGCCGAGATGAAGTGTTTTCCCTGCGGTCCTATGTTCCAGGGCTCGCTTCCTCTCGAGGAGTGATGTTGCAATTATATTTTTAAGAGCAACTTGCCGGCTGGGCTTCCCAGCAGCCGCAACACTGAAGGAAACGGATGGGTTTGTGGTGTTTTTTTTTTTCCCACCTCCCCCCTTTCCTCTTTTCTGCTCCAAGTTGCGAACCGGGCTGAGGAAGTTTCCCGGGCAGCCGCGAAACCCGACGGGAAAAAATAATAATAATAATAATAAAACGGAATAAATAAAAAATAATAAAAGAGGCTAGTCCCAAGTGCCGAACCCTCGCAGCCCCCCTCCCTGACCCCGGCTCCCCCCCTCCCCTCACAGCCGCCGCGTCCCAACGGAGGGGGGGCAGCCGTTAACGGTCGCTGCCCGGGGGAGAGATGAGGTGAGGGGGGGAGCGGCGGGTCCCGGGGCTCAGCGAGCCGTGCCTGGGGGACGCGGCGGTGCTCACCGTGCCCCGGGGACAGGACGGGAAGCAGCAGGAGGAGGAGGAGGAGGAGGAGGAGGAGGAGGAGGAGGAGGACGCGGCGCTGCTGCTACCGCCGCGGCTGCCGAGCGGCTCTGAGGGGAGGGGGCCCCAGCGCGCGCGCACCCCAACGGCCGCCCCGCCCCGCCCCGCCCCGCCCCTCCCTGCCCGGGCGGGGGCGGGGCCACAGGGAGGGGGCGGGGGGAGGCCAGAGGGAAACTTTACCGGCTCGGCGCATGCGCGCTGAGGGTGGAGGGGGGGTAAAGGGGAGCCCGCCGCTATCCAATCGGAGCGGTCCGTCGCGGCCAATCAGAGGGGGGAGGGCGGGGCTAGAGGAGGAGGCGTGAGGGGGCGGGGCTAAGGATCCGCGATCCGTGCGGCCCGCGTTGGGATAGGGCAGCGGCCGGCGCGGCAGCAGCCAATCAGAGGGCGCGGTGCGGATAGCGGCTCGCCAGCAGCCAATGGGGCGGCGAGGCGCGGCGCCGGGGCAGTGACAGCGGGCAGTCGGCCGCCCGGAGACACGGGCTCCGCCCCGGCCCACGGGGAGGGGAGGGGGAGACGGATGGAGCGCGCATGCGCAGTGCCGTGTTTCTCCTAGCACGTGCGTGCCCCGCGTGGGAGGGGGGAGCTGAGGCGCGCGGGGCGGGGCGGGGCGGGGCTCGCGGCAGGGCGACCGTTACGCGGAGGCACCGCGACCGTTACCCGCCCCTTATTGTTTTTTTTTCCTTAATAACGCTTTTTTTCCCCCACAAAGTGACCTTGATTAAATTCGCTAATTAGATATCCCGGATTACTCGCAGTCTATTTATTTATTTATTTATTTAATTTATTTATTGGGGTGGGGAGTTTGGCAGTAGGTGATTTTTACAAGTCGTGTGCCAAAACAGCCAGACCTGCATTTTTTTTTTTAATTATTTGTAGGGATTTATTTATTTTATTTTATTTTTGTCAGTTCTGATGCAGGTTGGCTAAAATTCCATGGTGTAAACACAATCTGAAAGAAATGCAGAGCAGCATCTCTTTAAGGCAAAGTTGGAACGCCTCAAAAAAAAAGAATCTTCTAGGTTTGGGTTGGAGCAGACATTTCTCCTCAGAAGGAGCAAGTCAGGCACTGGGACGGGTTGCCCAGGGAGGTGGTGGAGTCGCCAGTCCCGGGGGTGTTCAAGGAGAGGCTGGACGTGGTGCTTGCGGACATGGCTCAGTGGGTGACACTGGTGGCAGGGGGATGGTTGGACCAGGTGGTCTTGGAGGGCTTTTCCAACCCTAATGATTCTGTGAGTTCACCATTCCTCTTCTACCCCACCACCACCATTAAAGATGGAAATAATCAGGAAAGGTTGTTTCTGCCAGGTGGCTGTTTAGTGGCATAACACGCTGATTGACAGCACGGGGAAAAGCGAGCTCCCCTCTGCACCTTCCTGGTAGGAGCCGCTCCAATTGCTTTGGGATGTGTTGTGCTTTTATTACTTTTTATTATTGACGCTTAAAAAAAAAAAATCTATTCTTCTGGCTACAAAACAGCTGCGGCAGCAGAAAACAGTGCTGGAAGTGCTTTTGTGTAGAAATGTGGGCAGTCAGGAAAGCCAGTTTTCTGGCATTTCAGGGAATGCTATAATCAATTGTACTTGAGGAAAACTGCAGATACATTACTTTACCTTTTTACAGTATAAGTTAGAGCTGTGAGAGGAAAGTGATACCAGGGAGAAGGAGGCATGCATGAAACCAAACTGGGTGGACAAGGCAGTTGCGACATCTCTTAAGAAGTGGGAACTGCAACTGGAGGTGCTCCTTCTTATCCTGTTTAACATTGACTTAGCAAGTGTCCTGTTCTCATTTGAACTGGCCTTCCATCAGCTTCAAGGACAGATGCGTGTGGATTTGGTAGCTCACAGATCCTACTCTTTCGCTGCTGTGGTATTGTTCTGCTCTGTGTATTATTTTGTCCTCAGTAATTTTGCAGCTCTGCTTGTTCCTTTTGAGGCAATTCCGTGGTCTCGAGCACCCTTTTGTTCAGTAAGCATCCTTAAGTGTCTCTTTCCTAACCTGTACTTTGCTGTCTGTCCTTGAATTGAGCATCCTATATCCTATGAACCCTCCATTAGGAGTACATACACACTGCAAGTGTTTCTAGATCACCAAAATCATTATTTAAGCCAGCAACCACCTTGTGTTTCTGTTCATCTTGGCTACTTCCAGTGTATTAAGGTCATCATCGTAATGAGAGCTCAGAAATGAATTTCTGAAGTAGTCACTCCAGACCTGTATTTTGATTTGTTGCTTCCTAGCTCAGTGAAATATTTCTGCGTACAGATGAAAGCACACATTCTGTAAATGCTTTGTTAGTGAAATTTAGCTGGACTACATAGATGGTTCAAGAAACATGTATTTTGGTGCTTTAAAGGCAAAGTCTTAAAAACTCTGATTCTTTCTGGATCCTGTATCGCCTTTTTCAGTTTTTGTTAGATTTCCCGTTCATTTACGGTTTCATCCAATGATACAAGTGCATTTTTCTCCTGTATTCCTCCCTCCTATCTATTATGTGACTGGATTTCTACAGGCTTTAACCTGGATTCTCTTACTTAAATCCCCTCCTGGTCAGAATCTCTCTGCTACGTGCAGTTTCAGGTGATGTGCATGCGTGACCAACCAGTGATACATCAAGCATGGTGGGAGCAGCATCCAGTTCAGTCAATCTCAGATGAAGTTTGTCCTCCTCAGCCAGTTTCTGCCTCCTCATCACTGTTTCAGCCGGAGGATGCGATGTTCTCAAGCCTGCATGGTATTGCCACTGGTGTGATCATCCTTCAACTCATTTCTCTCAAAATGAGCCTGCTTATTTTAAGCAATTTAAGGTGTGATTCCATGGCAGTTTCAGATGGTCTAAATCCCAGCTTCCCCCACCCCCTCCTCCCATTCCCACCCCCATGCTCCCATCTCTTTTCCTGTGCTGCCGTAAGTGCTTGTGCTACCTCTCTCTGTTGTAGCAGGGAATTGCCAACGAGGCTTATTTTGGCTGTACAGGTGAGGAGAAAACAACTGAGTGAGCCAGTCTTGGGATCCAGTATCTCTGTCAGGAGGGCAGTGACAAGAAGAGGTAATGCTCTCCTTTCTGTTTGTGCTGTTTCTTTCGGGAACTTCAGATGATGTTCTCTTTGCATTTTTTTTCCCCAGTGTTGTGGTTTGTACTAATTACCCCTCTTTATACCTACTCCATTGTTTGTTCCTGTAAGAAATTATCCTGTCACTTACCTATTGAACTAGCAATATACTAAACTAGCTGTAATTAGCAAATTGATAAAGATGCATATGATGCTTAAAACAATAATACAATAGCCTCTGCGTATTCCGCAAACCCATGACAATGCAAATGTCATGCAGTCTAATTTTAGACATGACACTGAGTCTTCTGTTCATTAGCCTTTGTTTATTGCCTTACAGCCAGCTTTAACAAGACAGATTTTAAAGAATGAACTCAGAATTTTGATCTCTAAGCCATGAATGATAACCTCCTGTTTTATTAATGGATGTTTGTTGTGTTTTTTTTTTTTGTTTGTTTGTTTTGTTTTTAACTGCTATAGTTATAAAATCCTTTGTACTCCATTTCAGATGTAAGGCAAGTCTTCAGGGGATATATCCATTGACCATAAGACATTTGGGGTCCCCAGCCAAGAGCTTCTCCCTAGATTATTTCCAGCATGACTACAGACACAGAAGAGAACTGCCTGGAGCTGGGAAGAGAAGCAGGGAGGGAGGAAGGAAGGAAGCTTACACAAAATAAGATTAAATTTGCTTGGCTTTCCCTGGTATGGTTTATGTCAGATCTTGGGTTTTGATTTTTTTTTTTATTAATTAGAATGTAGTAGTTTTGTCTGGAATATGGGTCTTGTACAAACGTTATTGAGGCTGACATCTTGGCATTTGGCACTTCATGCACTGTTTTAGTGCCAAGACTAAAGCCCCTAATAACATTTTGTTGTGTTTTCTTTGTTACACAAAATGCTGCGTAAACCAGGAGGCTTTTGAAAAACAAACTGTTTATTAATTCTAATGGAAAACTTGTTTACTTTTTTATTAAGTTTTAATGTGTTTTTTCTTTTTTTTTTTTTTTCCAGAAATGCCACCTAATATTTGGTAAAGAAGGACTTTACTTCAGCCTACCCTTCCACTGTCTTCACCTTCCTAAAGAGGAGGCAGCGTACTTTAGAAGCGCATCCTGTATCTTTGCAGGTCTTCACTAAAGTAGTCAGTGGATGTATCAGTGAGACTCATTTTATTGTTAATTTATCTTCTTGATGCACAATATCAGACTCCATTTTCATTGACTGAATAACCGTGGAGTCATTATGAAGGCAATAAGAACTGAGTTACTAGCCTTGGAAGTGATTACTGCTAGATTTTTGCCTCTTAAGCCTCCAAACAGGATGTTGCATTATTATATGCAATTCTCTTCCCTGATGTACTGTCTGAGCATTGGCTAGAGTATCATGTTCCACTCTGATTCATGCAGAACACTTAATCTCAGTGGAGCCAAAGTAAGTATACATGAGATCGTAAATGACAGTTTTCATTGTCATGCTCCTTTTTTTTTTTTATTTTTTTCAATGTGGAGCTCTCTGTCTTGATGAAATACTATTTATTGCAAACCAGGGGCCTGATTGCTAGATGCTACTAAGTCATCAGATCCTACCTAGAACCCCTACCTACCTGTTTTTTTCAGGATAGGTGTTACAGGTCACTGAAATCCTGTTAAATATGACTGGTTTCTAACAGTTGTGTATGCCTCTCCCTCAGGCCATGTGTGGTAGGCACAGCCACAAATTGAGCATCAGGGGTGTTCATCCCCGAAGTCGACTTTTCACAGCTGGTTTGAAGCTGAGGTGTCGGTCTTTTGGCCCAGTTCTGTGAATTACAGAATCATGGCTTACACGTGTAATTTCCCTTGGAAAATAAATAACTGTTTTTGAAAATACCTCATTTCTGCACATTCAGGTAAGAGTGTGTGGTAGCTGCCAGTCAGCCAGGGTTTCCCCTTGCTTACCACGTTTGTCAGTCTGAGCCTTGCATGAGGCACAGCACATATCTGAATGCGGCAGCACAAGCCAGCTGGCAGCATTTTGTGCATTGGGCTAGTGAGCAGCAGGATTCTCTTTACTTGTGTGATGCTCTTATCTTTCTTGTTTCAATGTTTATATTGGAGCAGTGTGCAGAGGAATGAAGAAGAAATGAGCTGCTCCACAGAGATTTATGAAGAAATTGTCACAACTCTTAATGCCCTTTCCTGCTCCACTGGTACAAACTGTGCCACGGTGCAGCAGAGAACTGAATGTTTTCAAAAGCACAAGGAAACCTGGCTTTTCAGCCTCACAGAGTGCTTGCTTGGGAGGGAGGGAGAGAGAGAAAAGGAAAGCAAGGAGGATTTCTAAGGCTGTGTCAGTACTGTACTTTAAGGAATCATTGAATAAAGCACCTCACATACATCTTGCTCATCCTCTGGCACTCCTAAGAAAGCAGCAGCTGCGACTGCAGTTTGTGAAGTGGCTGATGCTGCAGGTTAAGCAGTAAGTACTTACTGGATCCATCCCCTCAGATGAAGAAGTACTTGGGCAGCCTTGTGTGGAGCTGCTCAGTTTTGCCCGTGATGAAGAATTTCTTTTATATATCAGAGCAGTGCTCTGGTGTATTAAATGCAGCATGTGGGTTTTCTGAGCACGCTTTGATCACCCTAAATCCTCTCAAGCCCTTATTTAGGCATGTATGTCCTCCTCTGTCCTCCCTGTGAGGCACACCCAGCTGGCAATCCCACAAGGCCTCTTGATCCTATTCTGCAGAGAACCTGGTCTGATATAGCTCAAAAGATGCTGTGTTTTGCACGGAAGAGACGGTCCAGTTGCCAGCTTCTGATGTTCCCAGATTGTCATGTTGCTTTGTATAACCAGGACGGAAGATACACGCTTGCACAGCCTGTGCCCTAATTATGCAGCAGATAGAAACTTTTCAGGGGAACTTGGAAACTGGTATGAATCTGAAATGGTAACCCAAACCTAAAATGTTCCTTTTTATAATCAGTCTCCTAAGTCTTCCAAGCTACCACACTGATCCTACGGTATTACACTAAGCTTTCATTTCAAATCCTTTTGGGTAACTCAGTCCAACTTCCTCCATCTTTCTGAAGAAAATACGTTGCGTGATCTGCCTAGTTCTTGCCAGTAACACAAGGGGACAGCATACACCGTAAGGCCTTCGTTTATTGCCATTTTCTTTTTGGCTGAATTGTGTAAAGAGTATGGAACCAGGGCAGCTGAAGGCCTGTAAACCATTTACTTCCATATTTTGAAGGCTCAAGAAGGATTTAAATGGTGCGTAGATGTTGTGCTGGCTGTGTCCACATGTGAGGAAATTTTATCCACATGGATTATGGTTCATCAAGCTGTCTAGACTCCCTCTGTCACTAAAGCCTATCCTTGCGATGCCACATTTGTCCTACCTTGGAGCTGCTGAACAGCCATTGCAGTAAACATCTTTGCCAGGGGGTGTGCACCCAGGGTCCCTAGGTTTCAAAGGATTTTGAAGAACTAAAGGGCATAGGGAACAAGTGTAATAAAGCTCACTGTGAGATCATATAGAAGGGGGATGTGGCTTTATAAAAAAGTCTCTGTAAACAGTTGACTGTGCCTATTTACATTCTCGAACCCCCATTCCCAGAAGCACCAAAATAAATCTGTCCAAATGGTCTAACCAGGGTCCCATGTGTGATCACACACAGGACAAGGAAGCTGTCTGTTAGGTCCTCATTGTTCCTCTGAGTTTCTTCTTGATTGGAAACTTGAATTGATTTTGAACTTGTTTTTGTTTTTTAACAAAAGATGATGCTTGGGGTCTTTTGACTTCACAAATTTGATATGTCTTGTATTTATCTGTGTATTTTATGTCTCTGTACTTGATTTTCTCGCCTGATGCTTTATGTCTGTTTGTTCCTTCTCTTCATTTGCATACCTGTGTTTTTACTGCATGTTCTGCTTCTGGTGCTTCCACACACGTATATGCACACATTTCCACCCACACTCCATCAATACCAATCTTACTATTTGTTACAAATTACTGCAAGGTAATTGAGTAGCTCCTCATTTTTCCTTGAACACTTTGTTCCTCAAGTGCAAGCTTCCCTTTTTATTTCCATCTATGCAGTACCATATCAAATACAGCTGGAAGCATGTCCTGCTAAGAAGACCCCACTTACTCTCTGACTTTAGGATTCTGCCCTGTTCCGGTGGGTCATTAGTGGAACAAAGCCAGAAGGAGATTCAGTTGTTTGCTCAAGTCTGAAAGGCCAGTGTTTCAGAACTGCAGAGTGTGCTATTAACAAGGATGAATCCTTTGGCAATGCATCCTTTCTGCTGCAAAATAGTTGCTGTGTGGAACCTAAGACCCTTATTACAAATTCATGAATGATTTTAATCCATTCTGGCAGCTTTCATAAGCATCGCAGTCATCTGGAAGCAAAAAAGATCATTAGTTTGTGCAAAATAATACAGCTATGCTCATATTTGATCTAGCTCTCTAGTGGGAAAGGAATACTTAAAGTTTTTTTTTTTTTTAAATAATCAAGATAGGTTTCTACTATATTAGATCTAACAAATCTATTTAGAAGTCATGTTCAATAAGACATAATAACACAATGCAGGGCATTAAAAAAAAAAAAGTCATCTAAAATGTGCACAGCCACCTTCAATGTGCTAGAGATATGCTAGAGGAGTTGTAAAATCATGTTGTAAAACTTAAATATCAGTTGTCAGAAAGTGACAATCTAATAGGAAAATCTAGCTATCACAAATTCCTTCCTTTCATCTTCATCATTTTTAAACGTCTGCCCCAAAAATGTGAGTTTCTCTCTGAGCACTCTTAATTTTTGGGGCACTGCTTGTTGCAGACGCAAAATCAGGAAGGAAATCAGATCTGAGAGTCAGCAGCTTTTGCTTCCCTGGGGCACTACGGTGCAAAATTATAGCAACAGTCAAGAAGTAACATTTATTGTGGTAGATGCCTGAAGAAGTACCCAACAGCTGATTTCTAGTACAATTTTCATAATATTATTTTTGCCAGTAGGCAACTGTCAAGATACTTTATGATTGCAAGTCAGAGGAAGCGTGTGTGGGAGAGGATGCATTGAATGGAGTATTCCAGAGCTGCTGTGAAGTTTTCTGTAATACAATCAACCCCGATGCAAGACCAAAAGTAAAGATCCGACTTTCAAAATTTCAGCTCTTATTTCTATAGAGCACCAAGCACAGCTGAGCTTTAGTTGAGGCTCCTAAATGCTAAGAAATCTCTAACTTCTGTCAGTAGAACAGGTTCGTCCCACTTGCTCAGATTTGCAAAAGGAATTCATGTAAAAAATGTTTATAATTCATCTCTCTTCCCAGTCTGCCATGAAGAAGTTGTGGTTTTACAGCTTGCTTTGCCACTGAATAATCAGAATCAGGCATCCTTCCTCTCTGCTCTGTTATGAATAATTTGCATGAAGGGGTACCAAAGAAGAGTGTAGTGAAATCACCCCCAGGCAGCTGAAGAGTCTTAAAAAATTAAGCCTGCACATAAACTACATGTAGACTTAAAAAAGAACAAGAGACCCATGCCTGAAACAGAGCATCGAGATGGCGAATATTTAGGTTGGTTTATATTTATTTACAAATGTTGGTAGCAGATGGTTACCAACATTTCATCAGTATGTCTGCTTAAGCAAACTTAAAAGCTGTAACAAACAGCACAATTTATGTAGCAGCTCGCCTTCTTTAGCCCACTCTCAACTTGCATTACCCAGAACAACTCCCATTACAATTCATCACACAGCTAAATAGCTAAAAAAGGGAAGAGATGCAAGGGGAAAACCAGGAAAGCAGGATGGTTGTCCAGCACTAGGGATCGGTGGTTTCTCCACCATGGATTGCTATGACTGATAGTTCTGTGCACAAAGAATCGTTTTCAGAAGATTTCTTCCTCTCCCACATACACTCCATTGTACCTTGGTTGTTAAAGCTTATAGAGGCTACAGAAGCAGACACTACCTGAGCAACCAGATAGGCATAATCTATCTCACTGCTCTCTTTGCAAGGGAGCATATTTAGCAGACGAACTGAGCCAGTCTGCTTTTTTTTTCCTCCACATTACCCTTTTATTTTCATGCAACACACAAGCTGTCGGAGATGAGGTGATGACTGACAGATGAGGGTGGCTGGTCCAATGGATGCCTCTGGTAGATATTTGTTAAAAAAATGCTGGGTAAATGGAATAAATTAATAGAAAGGGGGGCTCTCAACTAATTTCCCCAACAGAATGCTTCACACCTAAGGGTACCTCCCACTGAAACAGTTTAATTCAGCTGGCCTCCCCTCTCTCTTGAATACCCAATTCACTCACGAGTTCAAGAAGAAAGATTATGTTTTTCCAGGCAACTGGAAGGAAATACTTGTGATGCCAAAGTGGAGATGGAAGAAAACATCAATTATATCACCACAAATGGGATGGGCAATATAATGAACAAACAGTGATTTAAAAATGGAAACGTGAATGCTTGCTCTGTAAATATTTGGACTGGCGCTGACTTTCCTGTTCTAGCTAGTTGCAAGGAACAGGGTCATGCCCTGTCAAAGGATGTCACTGTAGACGGTGCAGAGATGAGGGTAACACCATCATTTCCCTGTCTGACTTGGCCTCACAGCCTGCCTGGGGTCAGAAACCTGCATTCAGCAGGAGCCCAAAGTGTGCATGTCCGTGTGTGTGTGGGCTTGTGTCTGAGAAATAATTACTGACTGTACACTTATAAATCAAGACAATTACCAACTATAGTCTTTTGTTCCTTTCTGGGAAAATCCTGTATACAGGAGCTTTGTAGCCTCATAAAAAGCGGGTGGAGTCTTAACTGGTTTAGAATATGCTGATTTAATTGATTACATTAAAAATATTAAGAGACTGAGGAAAAAAATATTCCTTTCCTGTCTCATTTATACGTAGCAAATGCTCAAAACAACTTTTTTATGAGAGTGAGCATCGACTTAATTAGAAGTGGCGTGCTTTCAAAAGATTCCTTCTGCGTGATTCGACACATCACAGAGCAAGTTTCACTTAAGACGAGGACATGCATATTTAGATCCAAGGCTTGCAGGGCGTGCCTGCTCTGTATGGTTCACCGAGGTCCACCCTCAGAGTTAAGCAGGTCTGAGCTTACACATTAGCCCAACTAGGGAGCATTTCCATGCCAAGATTTGAGCGATGCTCTTGTTCCCTCATTGTTTCTGTACCTCATTGTTTTGGTATGTTCCTGGGCAGTGGAGCACAGAGCTCGCTCTGTGTGCTGGGACCCATCCTTGTGCCACCCGAGGCAGCCCTGGCACAGCCAGGGGTGGCAGGGAGGGGACAGGGATGCAGGGCCACCAGTGCTCTGCTTTGCTTCTGCCCTTGCTGCCCAGTCCTAGAAGCAGACTAAGTCCTTTGGGGGCTTTAAAGCAGCGCCAGCCTGAAAGCACCAGCCTGAAGAGTGGATGATGGATGGGGGCAGGCTAGGAACTGGCTGGGAGCCCTGAATCACTCCGCAGTTCAGGCATCACCACGCTGGAGGAGACTTTGGCAGCATCCACGCTTACCTTCCAGCTGAATCATCCCGCACCTGGCCAGGGTCGGGACGCCAGGGAGGGAGGCTGCCCTGCCAAGGGACTGTGCCTGGCTGGGTCTGGGGTGAGCTCTGGGGCTGGGGCTGCCCCCCAAGCACAGGCACAGCCACCCTCCTGCCTGCTGAAGGCAGATGCATCTGGTCCATCTCTGAGAAAAAGGCAGACTAACCAGACACAGGGGCAGCAAGTTTATGGGGTCGCTCTTTTCCCCTCCGTGTCAGGGAGTGGAGCCGGTGCCCTGCCATCCCTTGGGAAGCAGAAGCTCGGGGCCTGGCCATCAGTGGGTGCAACTGCTGCCACTGGGCTCGTCTTAGAAGTCGCGGGTAAAGACATATGTAGGCTACAGCAGATCACATTTTCATTAGTGGTGCTGCTTCTGGAGAGGAGCACTGAGTAGTAATCATTATTATTGCTTTAGCAGATTGTATCTGTGTGCTGCTGCCACCTGCCACTCTCCATGCCATGCTGCAGAGACAGCCCTGGCTTTAGAGCCTAGTGGGTGACCTTATTATCAGCTGCATGTTTTCGAAGCCCACAGAAGGCTGCCTGTGAATTATACAATTTAGAAATAAATACACTGGAGACTTCCTTTTCCTTGCTGCATGGCTTCTGGGTCTTTAGCATCCATACAGGTCATTTTTCATTTTTCTCTCTGCGGCAGGCTAAGATATTAGGTGAGGGAAGGAAGGGGGAGAGAAGGAAGGGAAGGGCAGAAGGAAGGAGGGAAAGGAGAGAGGGAAGGGAAGAGGAAGAGGGAGGGAAGGGAAAGGAAAAATGAGAAGAACAACAAGCAAGAAGAAGAGAAAAATAATTTCTACAAAATCACATATAAGCAGAGATAATGGCATTGCCAAGACCTGGTTCGCTGAACAAAAGCAAAAAGCAAAGTAAACATGTTTTATCTAGCAACAGCTTGCCAGCTGAAAATTATCCATTCCAGCACAGAAGTTACCAGGGTCG